ACAACGAGCGGAAAAAGTCACGACTCAAACACGACAGTGAAGTCGACATCAGGGCTGCCAATGCTTGGTTGTGTCCCCCAGATCTGGGTTTTTCTTTTGACTTACTTACTTTACTTTTACTTTTTCCTTCCACGTATGCCGCTAAGCGTTGTGGGGAGATGCAAGTTCCTGTCGTAAGCAAGGCGGGCAGCATCTGATGTTCTGAGGCCATGCTTTTGGCAGGTTTCGGAGACCCCGTCAATCCACCGTTTCCTTGGTCTTCCTCTTGCCTTATATCCTGAGCTTCTTTGGTTGAAAATTTGTGATGTTATTTGATCATTTTTCATCCTGGTTAGATGTCCAAACCATTTCATTCTTTGATGTTCTATGTAGTCTAAACATGGTGTAGTTTTGACAGTGTTTCTAATGTCTATATTCTTTATCCTGTCTAGTCTGGTCTTATTCGCTGCTTTTCTTAGACATTTCATTTCACAGGCTTCTATTTTTCTTTCGTGGGTCTTGTTGATTGTCCATGTCTGGCACTGGTAGCAGAGTGTTGGAATGAAGATGGTGTTTATCAATTGTCTTTTGGTCTTCATAGTTATATCTGGATGTTTAAGCAGAGGTGATAGTTGGTATGTGACAGCATTTGCTTTCTGTATTCTTGTTTCTATCTCTCTGTCCATTCTTCCATCCTCTGTAAATATACTGCCCAAGTATTTGAACTCTTTGGTTTGCTTGATTTTGGCACTTCCAACATTTATATTCAGTGGCCTGTGTGTTCTGCTGATCTTCATAACTTCTGTTTTTTCTGTATTGATTCTCATATTATGTTGTAAACAGCTGTTGTTGAGAGTAGTCAGATGTTCCTGTAGATCATATTCATTTTGACAGTATGCTTTGATCATCAGCAAAAAGTAATTCGTTTATAGCATACACGTCTGGGTTTGCTTCTACAGTGATCTTATCCATGTATGTTATGAAAAGTAATGATGACAGTACACATCCTTGTCTGACACCAGTTGTGATATCCGTTTATTTATCTCCTTTCTAATTTTCGTAGCAATAAAAAATCCACTGCCGGCTTGCTAGGCCAGTCGCAGTTTAAGGGAAAATCTGACCAGATGGACCCCATCCCATCTGGCGAGCCAGAGCCTCGTTCGCCTGTGGCCTCACGGCCACAGTTTTCTTTTGACGCTGCGGGAAAATCTGAGGTTTTTTTTTTCTGTGTGTCTGTCTGTGGGTGTTTTGCCGATCTGTAAGCTTGGCTCTCCTAGCAGATTTGGCCGGTAAGCTGCGCTGCTTCGACTGCTTCGGTCGGCTTAGCGGGACTTAGTGGGAGTTATGTCCCCGTGGCCGCACTCAAAACATCGAGCGGAAAAAGTCACGAATCAAATGGCATACTTACCTATCATCATCCGGGTGCGTGTAGGGTTGCGTAGGGTGTCTATCTTCGTCCTACGGTTGCGTGTAGGGCTGCTTATTGCGTGTAGGTTGGTTGTTTGCGTAAGATGAGGGGTAGGGTTAGGGTTTAGGTTTAGGGGTAGGGTTAGGGGTAGGGTTAGGTGTAGCGTTAGATGTGACAATTGTGACGCCGTAGTTCCTTATAATCGCGCACAGTCGCATGCACGCGCAAACAGTCGACGGACGGTGGATGCTACTGACACGGACAATTCGCCACCGATTGGGCACCAGCCGCCCGCTATTGGCATCATATTTGGCAGAGTTTCAGTGGCGCCACTCCAACAAGCATCAGATTGTCGGCCACTATTTTGACCTCCTACGTGAAAATGTTCACATCGAATCATAACCCTAACCCTAAACCCTAAACCCTAACCCTAAACTTAAACCCTAACCCTAAACCTAAACCCTAACCCTAAACCTAAACCCTAACCCTAAACCCTAACCCTAAACCTAAACCCTAAAACCTAACCCTAACCCTAAACCCTAACCCCTAACCCCACCCCTCATTTTACGCAAACAACCAACCTACACGCAATAAGCAGCCCTACACGCAACCGTAGGACGATGATAGACACCCTACGCAACCCTACACGCACCCGGATGATGATAGGTAAGTATGTCATTTGATTCGTGACTTTTTCTGCGACTTGTTTTGAGTTGTTTTGAGTTTGGCGAAGGGACGTAACTCCCACTAAGCCCCACTAAGCCGGCCGAAGCAGTTTAACTTGCCGGCCAAATCTGCTAGGAGAGCCGCTTTAATGACTGATAAATTTGCATGTTTAGGGGTTGGGTTAGGGTTAGCGGTAGGATTAGGGTTAGGGGTAGGGTTAGGGTTAGGATTAGGGGTAGCGTTAGGGTTACGGTTAGGGTTAGGGGTAGCGTTAGGGTTAGGGTTAGAGATAGAGTTGGGGTTAGGGGTTAGGGTTAGGGGTAGGGTTAGGTGTAGCGTTAGATGTGACAATTGTGACGCCGTAGTTCCCTATAATCGCGCACAGTCGCATGCACGCGCAAATAGTCGACGGACGGTGGATGCTACTGACACGGGCAATTCACCACCGATTGGGCACCAGCTGCGCGCTATTGCCGTCATATTTGCCACACTTCCAGTGGCGCCACTCCCACAAACATCAGATTGTCGGCCAGTATTTTGACCTCTTGCGTGAAAATTTTCACATCTAACCCTAACCCTAACCCTACCGCTAACCCTAACCCTACCCCTAACACTACCGCTAACCCAAACCCTAAGCAACCCTACACGCAACCGTATGACGATGATAGACACCCTACGCAGCCCTACACGCAACCGAATGATGATGATAGACACCCTACGCAGCCCTACGCGCAACCGTATGATGATAGGTAACCCTTGACGCAACCGTACACAACCCTACACGCACCCGGATGATGATAGGTAAGTATGTCATTTGATTCGTGACTTTTTCCGCGACTTGTTTTGAGTTTGGCGAAAGGACATAACTCCCACTAAGCCGACCGACGCCGTCCAGCTTGCCTGCCAAATCTGCAAGTAGAGCCTAATATTTTAATGGTAGATACCATCATTGACAAATTATAGCATAGTATAATCTGACAAAAGATGGATCCAGGGCTGCTTCCCAGTAAAATGTTGGGTGGAAATGACTAAATGTTTGTATTTTTTTCCTACCCATCTGCCTGTTTACAAAATTGATCTCTTTTATATGAATGTTTGTTATCATGATATATTACTTAATCTTTAATTTCTGTTTTTTTCCAAATATTCATCGTCAGCATGTTATCCGTTATCAGAGGCTTGCTCAGTAGGGTATATGTCTATCTGGTTAATGCTTTCTTTTGGGGAGATTTCTTGCACTGTAGTAGATAATGTGTATGTAAAATTATATATTATTATGATACTGATGCTTAACATAGTTGTCTTCAATACTGGTATTGAGATGATTTCATAACAACAGGAAACGATGTACTGTGGCCTAGAAAGCAGACTGGAGGTGAGTTAAAGGGGTGGAGGGTTGATGAAGATCAGGATGGGAATAAGGATAAAGGAGAAAATGACTGCAAATAGTAAGATAAATTTAATTACTCAACTCCCACCATAAGTTTCAGGGTCTCATTTTTTGTGTAGGTACTTTCCTAGGGGGTGGGGGGAGGGGGGGGAATAAACTGTCACGTACAACCAAAATCCCTGAAAGATGAGCTCTTGGTTATAATTAAGTAGGTTATGTGCGTCATATAAAATGGCTTAGCATTGCATGCCACCAAAAGCCCTGAAAAGGACTCCTGCAGTCTTGATGCGATCAAAGGAGACAAACCCAAATACTGTCCCAACTGGCCACAAAGTTGTTTACCGGCGAGCCAATGGATGGCCCCGTCACCGATGTAAAGTCAACTAACAAAGGGTTCCTTGGAAGTCTGAGGCATCTGCCTGTGAGGCAAGGAACCAACAGACTGCATGCAAATAAGCCAGATTTGTGAAATGGATGTGCGTACAAAACCAGAATCTTAGATAAGACTTAAGTCCAGAAGTGCATGGAGAGTCAATACTTTCTGCCGGAGCTTATAGCTAAGGAACACCAAGAAGAAGACGATTTTGCAGCCATCTATAAGCAACCCATTGACAATGGCCCTACAGTCCTATGCACATTTCTAAATGTGAGCTTGTTCAGCCAGTCAAACTCCCCATTGCATTATCTGAGTGCCTTCCTATAACATAGTATAATATCATTGGTAAGAGAGAAACTTGTTCAGTATACACACACACATGGGCAAACACACACATCTACTTTGTTCACCGGCTGTAAGCTGCGGTAGAAGTCTTGGTCTCTAGTCCATTTGGACTTTGGCTTTGTGCCAAAGCCTGAGTTTTGTGTGTACATCCATTTTAGATTTTTTTGTGTGCAGTTGGTCCCTACTTTCCACTCAGGCAGATGCACTGATCTGCTGCTGATTTCTAAGGTATTCCATGTCCTTAAAAAATGTTGTGCTTTCTTTTTAGTCGACCACAAATGAGGTCACATCACAGTCCAGTATTTTAGAGGGTGGTAAGAGCAGGTTTTCCATGGTTTCTATACTTTAGAGCACTTCTTCCAAGGCTAAGATTTTCACATATCTCCCTAACCCTAACCAAAACTGTACACTTACTTAATCTACCACCCCCTGAAATATTTGACTGTCCTGTGACCTGTGGATTTTCCCTGTTTGTGGTCAGCTAATAAGAAAGTACCGGAAAATTGTTCATTTCCCTTTCTATTGTCCTCCAAGTTATCTTTTAAAATTGTTCTTGGTTTCCAGGTCAACCCAGCCTAGAATGGTTACCTGGAAATTTTTTATAAAATAAAGGCAGGCTATACTGCGCCAACAGAGTACTGACTGGTCTATAAAAATATAGGTCTAGCACCATATGCTCACTACATTTTCAAGCATAGAAAGGAAACCATTATTTTACACTTTGGTACAATCATGTCTTATTTTATTTCTTACTGCCAGCATATATTCTCATATTATGAATATTGTTATACAGTTTAATAAATTGAAGAAGCAAATTTTTTTCAGCAGATTTCATTATGACATCTAATCAGTTTGCCACCAAACATGAGGCTCCACTTAACTTACCCAGAGAAGATGTGTTTCTAAATGGACATGATAAATCACTTATATGGACTAGTGCTCCACATTATGTACCAGTTTACCCAAACTGGCAAGAACTCAGGGCTGTTAGGTATAATCCTCGTCTGACACGCAAAAACAATGATGAATATGAAGTAGAAGAAAACTGGACAGATTATCATCGTCAGAAACACACACCTAGTGGTGAGTTTTTCCCTCCATTAAACTTTTATCTTTGTTGTACCAAAGTAACTAAATCATTAGTGTGAAAGTTTTACAGTATTCTGAATGTTTGTTGTTGTTTTCAGAATTACTGGAATATACTGGACCCATATTTTTATAGACCATATGAAACTCAATAGATGATGTGGTCAATATCATGCCAGCCACCTTTACTTCCTAGAACATTTCCTGGTATCCTTTTTAGGCTTGATTAACCTGGGAGCCAATAATCTTCCGGATGGCAGGCAAGCATTGAGCCACTGTATAAAACTGACTGGATATAAATTTATTTGAGTAATATGTTAATTTTGATGCAAGGCCACCATATTTTATATATTTGAATGCTCTTTAGTTCTTAGCTCTCTGAGTTTTTATTGGTTTTATGAAATCTCGTGCAAGACTTCTGCAACACTTTCTTGTTCTATATGATGGATAAATGTCCACTACAGGTTTGAACCACACTAGGAGTAAATGGACTCCCACAAATGTAATGATAGAGATGATTAATACTATAAAGACTTGGAAAGAACTACTAGTAATAACACATGTTGGGTAGTAGGGAAGGTTTCTTTAGTATGAACGACTGGAGAAAAAAAAAAGAACAAGATGATGAAGAAGAAGGAGAAGAAGAAAAGATGGCAATGAAGGCAAAGATAAATACTGGAAACAAATAGCAAATTTTTGGTATATTAGTTGTCAGAAAGACACTAAAATATCAACTGTCGCTTAAGGATAATTTTTTTTAATTCATCTGGCATACAAGTTGATCCCTAAATAAGGCAGTTGTCTCCAGTCTAGTAAATTACTAGAATTGCAAACACTGCTGACACAACTCAGCTGTCATCAAAGAATTGTAATGCAGTGGATACTGTCCCACTGTAGAGTGCCTGGAAATCGGCAGGGGGAGGTGCGACAAAAGTGCAGCCAGATGTACCAGTCACCAAAAGAAAAAGATCATTAAATTAACCAGGAAACCACCAGCCTCAGCAAAAGACGACTATTTTATTATGGACAGATTAGAACAAGTCATTATCCTCAACCTCAGAACACAGCACAACCGATTACGTAACCACATGTACACAACATTTAAGATAGGAGTATCAGCCATGTGCACCTGTGGAAAAGTGCCCCAGACAGCAGAGCATGTACACCTGGACTGCACTGAATTAGACACATTAAGGCAAACTTTTTGACCAGACAGAACAACAGTGGAACGTAAACTCTATTGTCCATTGAATGAACTAACAACGACAGTGAAATACATACGAGAAATAAAATAGACTGATATAGACAACTTATTTAAGGCGAACGAAAAAAGAAGAAGAAGGCAGTTGTAATAGTTCTCAGATACCACAAATTCGTTATACCTATTTTACATTTGAATAACCTGGTACGCCAGGTCAGTTTTTAAAATAATGCCTGCCTTTAAGAGATTTGAAGATCACAAGGTATGCAGGTAAGTGTGCCAACTAATGCACTACAGGGGCTCCTGTGTCTTAATACTGTATACAAATATGATTGCTTGAAAATTATCTCTGACTATCATTCCCATGCAGAAGTTAGCTTCATGATAAGCCAAATTATATGTATAATATTCTTCTTCACTTACTTTCTCTCTTTCTGCTTCAGCTTTTGAGGGATATACATGTATCTTGTTCTTTCTTGCTCTTTTGGCTGCCTTTACCATATACAATTGATAGTTTTGTAGTTTCCTTATCTTGTTCTAAGTCTGCCTCAAGATCTACCTCAGGATATTCTATTTTTTCTTTTGGTATATGCCTTTTATAGCATAGCTTCACAAAGCATTCCTTCCAAGTGGGTTAACTTGTTTATTAACTGTCTGTATGTATTTCAGTATTGATGAATGCTACCTGATTTCTGATGTTATATTGTTTGATTACTCTAACAGCATTTCTCATGCATCTCATTTCCAAAGTTATTAAATTTGGTTGAATAAAGTTTTTTAGCTCTTGATATTTCAAAATTAATGTGGATCTTTCTTCTTTCACAGGCTATTACAGTAACAGCATTGGTATTCAGCCCTGTGGAGTGCCGGCTTTACGACTGGATGGATACACACGTCATATACATGGCATGCCACCTCGTGATATTTTCCAATATCGATGGCCAAAAGCTGATGGCTGGATGGAGCCAGCTCGAGCTCCACGAGGAGAATATTATGGCTACTATCATGAGGCCATTGAATCTGAAAGGTTCATGAGAGACCGTCTACGATCTTTGCATGCTCGGATTACTCCTTTTGATGTACCCCGTGTAACATCTCTTAATTGCAAACAAGTTCTGCGTGATGTTGATTGTGACCTGGGAGGTGGCCTGACATAAACATGATCACAAACCATACTCTGGCAGAAAATTGAGCAAATATAGTTTTTGTTTGTAACTATTATTTGAACATCATATTTGGTATTTGAACATTAAATAAACTATGAATTAACTGCAAGTTAAACTTTTGCAAATTAGAACAAAAACAGATTGTAATTAAAGATGATACTTTTTAATCTTTAATTGCATTCTATTGTAACTAATAATAAAGTTACATCTTCGTAGTAAATCTCCTTCTTCTTATTTGCGTTCACCAGCTGTAAACTCTGGTTGAAAGTTCTGGTTGTTCATCCACTTCTGGACTGCAGTCCTGTTCCAGAACCTGAGTGTTGCCCGTGCATCCGTTTGACAGATCTGACCCATTTGTGTGCAGACTGTTGGTTCCTTGCCTCTCAGGTAGATGCACTCCGACTTTGAAGGAATCTCCCAATTAGTCGACTCTTACGGCATATTTTTGAGTAGGCAGTGGGTCTATTCTTGTTTTCCCTTTAATGGGGCCCCGGAACCCACACTGGAAAATAGTAAATGTATACTGTCTTACTGTGAAAGAGTTTTTAATATAATTACATTGATAATTTACATTATATCATTAGTTATACAGATTATAGCAGTCTCACATCAAAGCTATAGGGCAGAGTAAATCAGAGACTATAGTGTTTGTCACCAGTGGAGCCCACTGGGCTCATTGCACAATACTGCTTTTTTGGATCTTTACAAAATAAGAGAAAAAAAAAAGTATGCTCTGCACCCACAAATCTAGGAGGGTGTATTAACTACCTAACCTTCTTGGATAAGATTAAAAACCTCAAAGAATCTGTGTTCCTATCATCTCTGTTAAAAACCCTTAGGCAATTGGAAATCAAAGAAGAACAGACCTGATAGATCACTTCCACAGCAAAATTTTAACTAAGAAGGCTATCCATACAAAATGTCATTGGCTCAAATCTGAGAGGATCTTACTTTTCTTTTTTTTTCAAAAATAACTTTGGCTCTCAGGTAAATCCAGCCTTAGACAGGTATCAGGTAAAGTCCTGGAAAGTACAGTGCGCAGCATGATGTTGACCACAACACTCACTGTTTTGATTGTTGTATAGAATATAGGTTGAATTAAATAAATAGTAAAAATAATAATGGTGGCATAATGATAAAATAATCATTATGGACTTTAAATATATTAAATCTTCTTCTTCGGGTTCATTGGCTATATACTTTGGTGGAAAGTTCTGTTTGTTCATCCACCTTTTGACATTAGTATTGTTTCAGAACCTGAGTGTTGCGTGCACACCCATTTTACAGATCTGATTTACTTGTATGCAGATTGTTGGTTCTTTGTATTCCGGAATGTTTGTTATAAATGTATAAAACATATTTTAAAGCACAAATAACACTAGATGGATAACATCAGTTATTTTAAAGCTTCATCGGATACATCTTAGGGTGTAACCTGTTTTTCTTATAAATTTATATATTAAAAAAAAATTTTTATTATGTTAAAATATAGTTGAAATATTGTTTATTTGTAGTAGATTGAAAAAGTGCAACCAAGAGATTTTGAAAGAAGCGGGGTCCTGAAGACAACTTATCACAAACATCAGAAGGAGACAGTCATTATTTTTCGGCCATGTTATGAGAAGAGGGAAAATGGAACATGTTGTGACCACTGGAAAGATCTGTTGAAGGAGGGATAGAGGAAGACAGCGAGAGAAGATTCTTTACAGTCTTGTTGCATGGCATGGAGGTGTATCAGTACACGAACTGATACATGCTGCAGGAGATTGCGAAGTGTGGAGAGGCATGATCGCCCATACCAGTCGGCAAGGCACCTGATGATGATGATGATGAATATGATTTTTAAAAAAATCTTTGTAATAGCAAAAAATTGAAATTAAATATTACCAATGAGAATGTAACAAAATCTTATAAGTATTTAGAAAGAATGTGGAAGAAGCTCTTAACAGCTTAAGAAAATATGATGGCTGTAAATTAGAAACAACATTATTATTAAATAATAATAATGTTAATATATCATGTGCTCTGCCAATGAATGTAGGCGGTCATGGTTTGCCGTCTTACATAATCACCAGAATTATGGATCCAACCATTGCTCCTGTCATGCCCCTCCACATAGCCAATCCAGCTTGCTGGTTGTCACTGAGTTTTTGAGTCCATTCCTTTTCATAACGTATTCAGTCACTTAAAATCTTTAAAATATACTCATAGATGCATAACAACATGCAAACGCCACAATTATCTTAACTTTTACAGTCCAAATGAACACACCATACATTCATAGGTTCCTACCTAGAAGCCTGGTGAACACAAGATGCGCCAATTCTACGTTTCTCTGTACCACCCCTTGGACCTCTGATGTTAAGCCCCCGGGGACTAAAGGGATATTGAAGAGTTGATCAGGATATTGTTGGTATAATAACTACTACTTCAGGCGGTCAAAACATGGTAACATGAACTTTGAACAGTGAGTTTGCTATCAGAAGCCCTAGGGATAGTAAAGAAAGACATGATATTCGCACATCTTATGTTCATTGGGCTTTTCAGTAGGAACCTGTGAACATATGTTGCATTGATTGAGACTGAAAGAGTTAAAATTAGCAATCTGTTTTATCAGGCTATGGTATCACAATGTATTGAATACATATAAAATTAAAGGACATCAAATATAAATGATCAGATGTGAGACTTCTGGTTCCTCAACTCTCAGGCAGATACACTGTGACTGTGGAAAACATCCATAATTAGTCGACTTTTACTGCATACTTGCTAGGATGCAATGGGTCTATCCTACCCCCCCCCTCCCAACCCCCCCCCCTCCCAACCCCTCCCCCCCCCCCAGAATGGAGTCCTAAACTCAAACGGGATATAATTTAAATGATCATCGGTAACTTCTATTTCTTCTTCACCAGCTGTAAACTCTGGCGGAAAGTTCTGGGTGTTCGTCCACTTCTGGACTGCAGTCCTGTTCCAGAACCTGAGTGTTGCGTGTGCATCCATTTGACAGATCTGACGACTCATTTGTATGCAGACTGCTGGTTCCTTGCCTCTCAGGCAGATGCACTCGGCCTTTGAAGGAAGCTCCCAATTAGTCAACTCTTACGACATGCTTTTGGGTAGGCAGTGGGTCTATTCTTGTTTTCCTCATAATAAGGCCCCGAAACCCACACAGGGAATCATCAGTAATAAATTAAAGAGCTCAGACAGTGTGCAGTAACATAACCTAGCGTAAAATCTTTTTTTTTTCTGGTGCGAAACGGTACGCGGCATCGACGTTTATGCATTATTTTGTGGCGAATACCTGCATCTCTCTTAAGTCTCATTATGATAAGCACCACCATCCTTTTTTTTTCTTTCAGGAAACAAAGCATGCATAGCATAATGTCAACAACAACAACAAAAATTAATAATAATTCATCACGCCTTCTAAAACCGACTTAAATCAAGTTATAGTCGTAAGTATTGACTACACTACACCAGATGTTATCCATACGGTTCGGCCTCTCTATCTGCAAAACAGCTAGCCTCCTGCCGATGCGCCGCACGGATCACGAAATCCGTAGCTCCGGTAACGATCCACACGGAACTCCGTAAAAATTGCACTCATGAACTGAAGGGCGCAGCCGTGAAACGAACCCACAACCTTCTGTACGCGAGTGAAAGTATCAAATCAAGTCCGAGCAGCTAACTGCTGGTGACGATATCCAGAAAATGGGAATTCCAGAGAAATTACACTAAACAGCTCAACAAAATGAGGAAGCAGAAAAACGTGCACAACACAACGTAACGATTCGACCTGGCAGCCTTTATCAAACATAAGTGAACTACACAAACGTAATAACGTTACTTGTGTTTGAAAAAGGCTGCCAGGCCGAAAAGTTACGTTGCGTTGTTTTGTGCACGTTTTTCTGTTTCCCCATTTTGTTGAGCGTTTTAGTCTAATTTCTCTGGAATTCCTGTGTATTATTTGACTGCAGTCACCCCCATATTTTATCCAGAAAATAGCTGACTGGAAGGGACTGGAGATAACAGCGAAACCAGTGATACAGAAAAGACAAGCTAAAGTGGAAGTAACCCAGACACACCAGAGCTCTAAAAGAGCATCCACACGACGGCGAGGATAACAACTGGAACATCTCAGTCGATGACACTATCAATACTGGCAGACGGATGAGCTCTTGCGGTGTAGCAAAAGCTCTAGTTGGAACTGTGAAGAAAGTCTTGATAAAAAATGACACACATGCTCCTCTTTTTCTCATCCAGAAGATATGAAGTTTGTCAGATATGGAAAACAATAATACATTTTTATTATAAGATACACACATTTATTATGAGAGCGACACATTTTAATATTATCGTCCACAAGCTTGCAGATGGCTGTGCTACAAATCTAGTCTGTGTACTTTATCATGCATCCTAAGAGATCACATCTTAATATTCGGACACTGATAAAGTTCCCGAATATTATAATGGGGAAAATTGAAGAGCTTAAACAGAGTGCGGAAATAAAATGTAGCATCAGTTCCCTCCTGATTCCCCCTTTTCTGACGTCAGTCATCTATTCACCCCCCCCCCGCCTCTCTCTATTTTTCTCTCTTTCAGGGCGCCACAGACGTGGGCAGAAAATTAGGCTACTTAGTGTGAAAATCAGTATATGAAAACAATATGCATTTTGTCAGTGGTGACATCAATAGTGCCAGTCGGCCTGCTGGACATACGTTTGCTGTGAATTGTTTAAAATGACCTGGTCTGTAAAGTTGAGTATGCCAAAATATTATGTAAGGAAGTGACCTGTGAAATTATGCCAGCGTGACGTTGATTACATCACCTATCGAATGATGACTTCCTTCGAAGTCGGATTGCATCTGCCTGAGAAGTAAGGAATCAGCAGTCTGCATACAAATGAGTCAGATCTGTAAAACGGATGCACACGCAACACTCAGGTTCTGGAACACCACTGCAGTCAAGAAGTTAATGAACAACTAGAATTTTCTGTCAGTTTACAAGTGGTGAACGCAAAGACGAAGAAGAAGAAGAATGATGACTGTAAAATTTCTGGTTATCGTCAGAGGTGCGACTCTCTCAAAGTCATGGAAGGCGTCTTCTGCCATTTTGTCACTAGTTTCTGATGTCATGCTTGACCTAATTTGCCAGGCTCCCCGTGTGGGTTCCGGGGCCTCATTATGGGTGGGGGGTGGGGGAGAGAAGACCCACTGCCACCCCAACAAGCATGTCATAATTGTAGACTAATAGGGGTTTCCTTCGAAGTCGGAGTGCACCTGCCTGAGAGGCAAGGAACCAACAGTCTGCATACAAATAAGTCAGATCTGCAAAATAGATGTGAGTGCCAGGTTCTGGAACAAGTCCAGAGGTGGACGAACAAACAGAACCTTCCGCGAGAGTCTACAGCCGGTGAACGCGACGCAGAAGACAATGAAGAATTGCCTGGTAAGCATCACTGCCCTCTTTGCTTGTTTGTTTTCCTCTTTTCTTTGTTTTGTGTTTACTTAAACCCATCTGTGTAGATTATATGTTATCACAGTCGACGTCACTGGATGTTAATGGTAATCGATCAATGCCTTTCTCTTGGTGTTTGCGGGAATCTGGTTCCTGTAGTTTACCACCCCTCCCCTTTTTATCCCCACTAACTCAAAATAATGACAACCTTTGAAGATAAAAAGGTTAAAGGTAAAGTTGGAGGATGGGAGCTAGAGTCATTGCACACGGTTAAAAACCATAAGTGCTCTGCGACCAGTACGGACAGCTGATAAGAAACTGTCCGCCTGTGTCGCCGTCCGAACGCAACTCCGTAGCTACAGCGACGTTCCTCCATTTACCCAAAGAGTGTATTACTTAGAGGCTGGGTGAACGCCTGGAATAGTCCGGTTTCGAATACCGGCAGTGTGCTGCAGCGAGTCACAGCTGGATTTTAAAGCGAGTCTTCTATCGACTGCGCTAACGTGGCTCCCAGAACTGTTGAAGAGTCATGTATCTGTCCATTCTTTTCTGTGTCTTGAGAATGCCCAGGTCAAACATCGATGTGATTAAATTTTCAACCCCAGCCATCCGACAGTGACCTGAAAACGCAAAGCTTGATATACAAAATATAAAATTGAAATATTTGATAAAAAATAAAATTAAGAACCACTTCAACAACCTAATGGGCAGAGAGAGAGAGAGAGAGAGAGAGAGAGAGAGAGAGAGAGAGAGAGAAGGGGGATACGTATTTATAGTTCTATGTTGACTGTGGCGTTTATAGCTGATTAGGTTTAGGTTTATACCACGGATCAATATCATTGCACAGGTGAGTAACCCGTAAGTGCTCCGTTCCACTTCTTACTCAAGCTTGACCCCGGGACACCATGCCTCGAGACCACTCAGGCCTCCTCAGTTTATAGCTGATGTCTTGTCCGTTGAGTTTTCTAGTCAGTTTGTGCTGTAGTTACATCTCTGTTGATAAAGACTTTGGTTTACATTGTGCTGTTCGCGCCTTTTTCATCCCCTCAGTCGTGCTTTCTGGTCTCATTTTGTATTATATATAGAGTACTTTTTGTTTTCGACTCTCTCCACTTAGCAGCTTTTCGTCCACCGACAACCCCACACGTAGCATAAAACTCCGAAGCTCCAGTGACGACCCTAGAATCTCATTCAACCTCTAGACTTGCGAACGGAGATACAGAGTCTGAAACTTAACTCATGTTATCTGAGCGCAAAGCAGACGGTTAAATCACTTAGCCTGGTAGACAGGGCTATAGTGACTCAATGCAACACGTCGATGTTGGGAATAGACTGACTGATAGCACTACGTGTTCCATGAATTCTGTTTCCGGCGGGGTTGACCAATAACATTGAGAGAAATAATGCTTCCGGTGGCGAAGTAAACATTGGGCAAGCACGACTTGGTGGAAGTCTGAAACTTTCTGTGACCCGTCGCTATCTGGGCATCCGATGTTGTATGGAATTTTCTTCCGCCTGCTGAAGTATGAGCCGACGGAGGAAAATCGGATGTTTGTCCAGAGCTTTTAAAGTATTAGCCTCCGTCACAGCAATTTTGGCATGGACTGGCTGCTTAGTTGAAAATGTTGATGGAAGCAAAGGTAGACCGCCTCAGCACGAACAGCTCGGAGATAACGAAGGGTTAGGCAGTTTCCAGACTAAAGCGGAAGATGCGGAGGTTTCCGTGGAGGCCGAGTCTTTTCCGTTACAGAAGGCTGTGGATTCAAGCTGTGATATGTCAGTGTTATTATTTCTCTAACGTTTTCTATTTAAACTATTTTTATTTGAACTGCCGGGCTTCCCTTGTAACTTACAAAGTGGCATTCAGTGATTGGTTATCATGAAAACGTTAACTGACAATAATAATAGTAGTGATAATACAGTAATAGTGTTTCATAACGTATATTAAAGTAAGTAAACGATAACGCCAAAACATAATGTGTATAGAAAGCCACACACACACAAAAATGTTGATCCAAGTCAGTAAATATAAATATTGTTGGCACCAAAATCTGCCCAGTTAGCAGAAGAAATGAAGAGATATCAAATATATAATTTTTAGGGTTAGGTGAAGTTAGGTTAGATGGCCAGCAGCAGATAAAAGGGTCGCTAGTGGGTTTACCCTTATATACTCATGGAGGGAAAAAGATGGAAAACATGGAAGGAGTAGGCATTATGATGACACCCAGAAGGCTAAAGAATATTACAGCAAGAAAGATAAAAAAAAAAAGTTGTGCAAGACGAGGTAAAAAAAGGATATGTTAATAGATTGCTAAAGATGGATAACAGGCAGTTAAGACTGGAAATAGTAAAATACTATATAGGACGCTAAAACAGTTAACTAATAAGTTCAAACGGGGTGGTCCTATTAAAAGTAAAAGCTCTCCTCCAAACTTTGTCCCCCTATTATGGTGGCCCTGCTAGGATATTTATTTAGCGGCCATAATATAAGGACGAAGTTCGGAGGAGAGCCAAAGTAAGGATGGTACAGTTCTTACATCTGATGCTGAGCAGAAATGATGGACAGAATGCTTCAAGTAGTTTTAAGTAGACCTAATCCACAAAAACCAATGAATTTTTATGATGAGGCTAAAAGGACCAAATTACCAATGCGTTTTTGACAGATATATGCCATGGAAATCAGGGAGGTAGTCAGTTCATTAGCAAATAATAAGGCAGCAGGTAATGATGTTATCACTGCAGAAATGCTCAAGGCAGCAAATGATATAACCATAAACCGAGTGAAAGATTGGTTTAATAGAATATGGGCAGAGGAAAAGATCTCAAGTCAGCAGAAGAAGGGAATAATTGTTAAAATTCCAAAGAAACCTGACTGAAACAACTGGAGCGGAATTACTCTGTTATTAGTAATGTCAAAGACTTTTTGTAAAATAATTCTCAATATAATTAAATGGGTAGTGGACAAAATCTGGATAGAAGAGCAAGCAGGTTTTTGACCTGGAAGAAGCTGTTTAGATCAAATATTTACTTTGCAATGTTTTTTGAGGAATTATTTTGAAAAAAGACCCATTATTTTGAATTTCATTTACTTTTAAGAAGGCTTTTGATAGTTAACATTGAACGTCACTTGTGGTGAAATTTAGAATGCTATAGTATGCCAATAAAAATAATAAATATCATAAAGACAATGTATGTAGGTTTAGAGTGTCCATTGCTAACAGACGATGGTCTAAGTGATTGGTTTGAAGTTGAAACTGAAGTGAAACAGGGATGCATTTTTATTTCCCCTGTTATTTGGCATAACCACTGACTGGGTGGAAAACACACATTTGGAAGATCTTGATTTTGCTGATGATATTCTGCTAAATATATAAAGAATGTTGTGGATAGACATGACTACCGCCACATGGCATGGACTCTAAAAAGAAGAATTCTGCTAAATAAAAACAACAGTGACGTGCAAAGGAAAACAGAGGATTTAGCAAATATAGCATCAAGGGTTGGACTGCAAATAAGTTACGAAAAGACAAATATATAGAAGACACCAATAGATCAAGCAGATGTAAGTACTAGATACAAAAACAGTTGAAGTAACAGAGCAGTTTACTTATTTAGAAGTAATTTTGATAGTGAAGGAAATACAAAGAAATATATGATGACATGCATTGTCAAGGCATCAGCACTTTTAATAGCTTGAACACAATATGGAACTCTGTACTGTGTAGTTTTAAATCCAAATTATATTTTTTCAGTTTTAATGTTGTTTTAGTTTTAATGTATGGAAGTGAAAGTTGGAGAACAACTACAGACAGGGAATAAACGTTAAATACAATTCAAAATAAATATCTGAGAGAAATGAATCTACTGTGTTTACACAAATAAATCAAATGGAGCAGTGATGAAAAAAAAAACAAACAAAGGAGTGAATGAATTGTTTTCATCATTAAACAATAAAAGTTACCTCATCTTAACACATTTGATAGAATTCTATCTCAACGCTGTTCATTCAAATCATTCTAATGTATTTTTTGTGGGTATGCATGTGATGTTTAATGAAGAATTATAAGCTGTTAAGAATAAAAAGTTTGTAAATTTTTCTCCTTCTCTTCTGGTCTTCTTGAATTTAAATCATCATCATGCCTTTTCATTTTTGTTTTGCTCACATGTTAAAAGTAGTATTGCTATTTTATCTTTATCAGTTCTGCTTGTATTTTAAATAAATTTGGATTTTATTTTTTGGTTTTAAATTGATCTTTTTTATTGTGATATTAACATCCTTATCTGCTCCTCTCCAGTGACATTCCTATGCGCTTCATCCCCCTCCCCTCCCACATTCTCCAATGCATGGTGTAAAAGTCAACTAATTAAGAGTGTTTCCTTCAAAGTCAGAGTGCATCTGCCTGAGAGGTGACCAGTTGCCTGTGTATACATATAAGACACATGTAAAATGGATTTGTTTTCCCATCATGGGCTTCCTTTTGGCTTTCACCCATGTTGTTCATGCTGACAGAGGGACTCTGTCCCAAGACCGCCGGACGTTTAGAGCACTTATTTCCTCTTGAAGTTTCAGTAACATTGTAGATTTTTTTTAGGTCAGAGCTGTCAACACTGTGCCAGATACAATCTCAAACACTAAACTGCTTCAAGTCACAAACCAAGAAACTTTAGACAGTATGATAACCAAGAGAAGATGGAAATGGCTTGGCCACATTATGAGAATGAATCCTGATATACCTGCCAAAACAGCTCTCACATGGACACCAGAGGGAAAGAGAAAACAGGGGCGCCCAAAAACAACATGGAGACGAACGATGGAAAGTGACCTGAGTGCGGCATCTTTGACATGGAAAACTGCACTGAAGATTGCACAGGACAGGAAAGCATGGAAAGTCCTCTCTGAAGCCTCATGTGCCACTAGGCATAACGAGAACTGATGATGAAAATGGATTTGCCAGTTTAACTCAAATTCTGGAACAGGACCAAAAGTTAAGGTGGAACAACAACCAGAACTTTCTGCTGGAGTTTACAGCTCATGAATGCTAAAAAGAAATGCTCCTCTGCAGTCACTTTTCTCCTCCTCTCCAGTTATTTTATATCTGCTTCTCTGCAGTCACTTTTTTTCTGCTCTTTTCCAATCACATGTCTATCTGCTATTTTCAGTTGACATGTTTACCTTTCCTATCACTTTTATATCTTCACCTCTGGGCCCCTGTCCATTACATCCTTAACTGCTCCTCTTATGTAACGTTCCTATTTATTTACAGTAAAATCCCTTTCGGCACCTTTCCAATCATTTTCATATCTGTTCTTAACTGTTCTCTGTCTGTTTCCCTCTCATCACATTTTTATTGCTCCTCTCTGATAACTTCTCTGTCCGCTCCTCTCCAGTCATATTTCTGTTTGCTATGTCCTGCCACACCATGAAATATGTCCTGGGTTTGCAGACGATGGCTAACAGACACAAAGTTGCACATGTCAAGGCATACATGGGGGTATCGGCAGACGTTAACCACCCACTGCACAAAGCTATATATGACAAAAAAGGAATGCACCTCAAAAGAGGCTGCTCCTGTATGGCTAAGGCTGAAGATTTAATCCAGCAGGTATGTGACCTAGACAAGATCGTTCACAGAAACAATGGACGAATACACCAGTAGATATACATGGTATCTCTAAGGGTGTCATCACACAGGGATCAGACTCCTGCGGCCGAAGATACAGGAGGTAAGGGCACTGATAGATTAGCATTCACACCAAGAGGACATCATTATCTACACAGATGGATCTGTGAAGCGTGGCTCGAGGTCTGCATGGGCATACACATCACAAAGGATGGGGAAAACAAAAAAAAGAGGACAGCGGCACTTACTAGACAACTATGTCAAGCATGACCACGGAGAAAGCCGCTGCTTCTACAGTTCTAGCATGGGCAGCAGATCAAACAGCCATACATGCAGCAATTATATCAGACTCCATGAATATACTTCAGAAGGTAGCAACAGGCGACATGTGCTCTGAAAATCGCACTTAACCTCCCTCACCTAGATCTTCACACCTGGTCATGCTGGCGTAAAAGGTATTGAGCACCAAAACATATGGGAAGAAGCATGGATCTTGCAGATATCATCAATGCTGTATGGACTGAGCTAGTGAATAAAAACGAATCTCTGCCACTAACACGAATGCATGACATGGGATTAAAGCATGGTAAAGTACGACTGCCACCTTTGAGACAGAGATAAGAGACATTATAACCAACCTCTCATGGGAACAATTAGTAGAAACACCTTAAAAATGACAGTCGACTGATAGTATTTTTCCAGTCAACATTATTAACCATATTGATCCTTGAATGAATTGCTGATAATGAGTGCTCGCCAACATATTGAATTTCATTTTTTTTTCAACAGCTTTTATATCATAGTGAGCACAATAGATGGAAAAGTATCAGCTTTAGATCTACAGAAAAAAGGTTCATTGGCCTGGTCAGTGGAGGCAGATACTAGACCCTTGTACTCATCAAGCTTGGCAAACATGGAGGTGAGGGCCAGTATACAGATATTTTTATTGTATAATGTAAAAAAAAAAAAAATTTAAAATTAAGGTAGGTTGAGATATTGCTGACAAATGGCTTTGCTAATTCTTCTCACTATATCCCATAAAATTAGACATTGTATGAAAGTTTCATGGGGGTAGGGGGTGTCCTCCTTGGGGAAGTTGTTAGTCTCTTACCTCATATTCCGAACATCATAGGTTCAGTTAGGGACTCTGTCCTTTGGTTTGCAAATGCAGGTATTTTAGGCAATCCTAAGGGTCGTAGCTGGTGCTATGTAGTTTTGTGTGACCGCGTATGAATGGACATTCTTCCAAGATAGGTCTGGTTAGAATCTTGTATTTATGGAGACTCATAACAGCCAGAAACCAAATCTTCTTCACACACTGGTTGTTGTTGTTATCGATCCAGCAGTGCATGAGCTTTCGCCCTTTGGCCCAATGCCATGTAATGGAATTTGCATGTTTTCACAAGCTGTTCTTTTCCTCCGTACAAGGTGTTCCACTTGTCTGGTCTCAGAGGGAGTAGCACACACACACACATTGGTTATAAGAACAGTTAAACAATCCTAGCTGGCAAAAACAGTAGCCAGGAATGTGAACAGTTTTTAATTTGCTCTTATGTATACCATTGTGGAAACAAATAGCTGGTGATACAAAATTAATAACAGCAACATGTTATGAAATATTTGGGTAAGAGGAGGGGCTGAACTGCCATTGGTGGTGCATCATGACCTATCGAAGAGCACATCCACCTGAGAGGCAAGGAACCATTGGTAAGCACACAAATAAGCTAAATCTGTAAAATAGAATTGCACGCAAAACTCTCAAGTCCAGGAACAAAATCAACATCTAGAAATGGCCAGGACTTTTTGCCAAATTTTACCACCGGGGAACACAAATTATGAAATATTTAAATGTCAGAAAGGGAGAACTAAAAGGTTTTGTGTAACATGTTTTGCTGTTTGGCAATTTATCTTGATATTTCACTGAACCAGTTGGAAGAACATGGAGGTAGCTGAGATATAGTTTCTGAGACGAGTTTTATGAAAACCTTTTTAATAATACTTGCCTGGAAGAAACTAATGGGAGTTTGTAACAGTTAGAAAGAGACAGTGTTCTTTATTAATGGGATGAAAATAAAGGCAGCGGAGAATGGTTAAAAATCCCTGTGTGGGTTCCGGGGCCCTGTTATAGGGAAAACAAGAATAGACCCACTGCCTACCCAAAAGCATGTCGTAAGAGTCGACTAATTGGTTGCTTTCTTCGAAGTCAAAGTGCATCTACCCGAGAGGCACGGAACCAGCAGTTTGCACACAGATGAGTCAGATCTGTCAAATGGATGCTCACGCAACACTCAGATTCGGAAACTGGACTGCAGTCCAAAAGTGGACGAACAACCAGAACTTTCCGCTGGAGTTTACAGTCGGTGAACGTGAAGGAGAATAAGAAAAATGGTTAAAAAGCAGGGACAGATCAATAAAAATAATGTTGTATTGTCTAAGACAGTGACATTTAAAATCCTTAACAGGATGTTGCACACCATCTTTAGCGTTTGGTAGCTGTTTCTGGTTTTCCTGGGCAATTTCTCAAGCAGAGTTTGCTGTTGCTGTCTAAATGGTTTGTTGCTTCTACCATTGTTGAAATCTACGAAAAGCAATCTGTCTGCTTGCATAATTACGTGCAGTTGAATTCAAACTCCGGTATGTCATAATTATGACACTGCATTCTTAACCTTAAAGCCAGATTTCAATACTGGCATACAGGAATGTTAATAATAGAATTGATTCAGAATACTAAGATGTGTTGTCCATGGGGCGACATAACTGCTATAGCCCCCTAACAGTCACATAACAGTGATGATGAGCATAAAATATGAGCAAATATTATATTATAGTTTACTCCCTATGTGGGTTCTGGGATCCCATTTTGGGAAAAAAAAATAAGAATAGACCCTTGCCCCCCTAACAAGCATGTCATAAAAACTTACTAATTAAGGTTGTTTCTTTTTAAGTCGGAGCTCATCTGCCAGAGTGGCAAGGAACCAACAATCTGCTTACAAAAAAAGCCAGTTATGTCAAATAAATGCGCTCACAAAACTCAAGTTCTGTAACAAGGCTAAAGTCCAGAAGTGGACGAACAACCAGAACTGGAGTTTACAGTTGCCGAAAGCCATGAAGAAGAAGAAGATTATTGTTTACCATTATTGTGCATGTTTGTTTACTTGAAGCATGTAATTTAAATTACAGGTTATACGGAATGGTAAGAAGATGAGGCTGATTCCTTCATTGGATGGGGCACTTTACCAGTTTGATGGTGAGAAGGTGGAAGCCATCCCAGTATCTGCGGAGTCATTGCTGTCATCAACTTACAAACTTGGTGATGACTCAATGATAGTTGGCAGTAAAGATCTCAGGAACTTTGGAGTCAATTTATTAACAGGAGAGGTAATGAATAGAATTTCTGTAGTTTGTCACTGTCAATCTTTTCAGTTGCAGCCATAGGTTCAGAGTGACTTCACGAGTCTGGAAGTATACATAGAGGGATTGGAAGTGAGGGTGCGTTAAAACACCCCTTCAGATAGACTCACCAAATTTGCTTCTTGTTTACCTTGTTGGATTGGCATTTATTTTAAAGTGTTTTCCCTCCAGGATTACCATCTGAAGATTAACATCTCAAGGATGAGAATCAAACAGGTACAAATCCCGGAAACCCTGTTCAACCATATGGTCATATACCTAGTTTTATTGGGACACCACAAAACACTTATGAAGTAACAAATAGTCCAGTGTGGGTGGGTGTTAGTGTTGATTGGCTTGTAGCTGTGTCTGTTTACTTTTGTTGTTTGATTTGGACTCTTTCTGTCCTGCTTCTTTTTTACTCAGATTCTTCTATTATTTATTATGTACCTGTTATATCATGCTTTTCCCTCACTCAGATTTATATGTTTGAATAGCAACTTGCTTTTATTCCCACTTATTTTCATGTTTTTGTGTGTACCTGTAGCATTGTGTTTCTCTCTCACTCAGAGGGAAAGCAAACATTTCATGCCTTAGGCACATTGGGCAATAGCGCTAGACCTATATTTTTATAGACTGATAAGCACTCGATGGGTAATGTGGTTAAAATCTTGCCAACCGCCTTTACTTCCCAGGACACACCTGGTACTCATTTTTTTGGCTGGGTTAACGTGGGAGCCGAGTCCAGTTTAGAAACAAAAATCTGTCCTAATATGGATTTAAATCCTGCACTTTCAGGATGTAAGGCGAATGTCTAGCCACTACATGCCTTTTCTCATTCAGATTCATTTACAATTTTATTCATTTTCATCATCATATGCCTTGCCAACTGGTGTAGGCGCTCATGTGTCTCCACAGATCACGATCCCTGGTTGCCTGGAACAGCTCTCTTGATAATATCCCCCCATGCCATCATTTTAGCCCATCCAGCATCATCTCTCTTGGTCTGCCTCTACGCCCTTTTCCACTGATCTTTGCAGTTGTCACGATGTTCTCCAATGTCTCTCATCTTATTATGTGGCCAAAGAACAGTGTTTGTCTCCTTCTTATTGTTGTACATAGAGATCTACTTTCATTAGCTTCTTTCAAGCAATCATTGTTAGTTACTCTGGCCTCCAAGGTACAATTTGATTGCAGTTTGCATACTTTATATTCCTGCTTCTTTTATACTTATAGTAACCTGCTGTTTTCCCATTCAGATTCAAGTGTTGTAAGTTATGAGTTAGACTATCCAGGCTCTTTGGACTCATCCATAGGTGCTCAGATTTCCCCCTCAACATATGCATTCTATGGCTTATATTACTAATCATATGCTGGTTTGACAAGGCTTTTCAAACTCTGGGTATGTGTCTTGTACATGGCCATATTGATGTTTACTCCCAGGATCTCATTATTAGAGCACTGTTCCCAAAAACCTCAGATCGTCCTCACCCTCTTAGGGCATTAACATTGGCAGCCATAGGTTGGTCATCTGTAACAATGACAGACCCACCTAATCTGTCAGCTATTTCATTGTTAGCAATGCCTCCGTGTCCCAGACAGATTCATGTGTTATCTTGTTGTATACTTGTAGCAACCTGCTTCTTCGAAGCAAACACCTCCATTTAGTCATCATTTACAGCAAGCTTGTTAGGAGGGCAGTGAGTTTATCCCCTCCCCCACTGCACCAAAATGGTGACCCAGAACCAACCCTGGGAATGTATTATTTGATTATGCGCCTGTAGCATTCTGCTCCTTTGACACCCAGGTTCAGTTCACTTGTGGAAGTGAAGGTTGCAGCAATTACGATGGCAGAACTGAGAATGAGCCTCTTGATGGTAGCAGTACCATTGTATTGACACGGAGTACCCAGGTTGTCCGATCTGTCGATGTAAAGAATGGACAAGAAAAGTGAGTACTTAGAAAACCCAGAGGAGAGCAAGAAACATGTTTCCAAATGTAATAGGGAAATTTGAATATGCAGAACTGAATTGTTAGTGCATTGGCTTACTAGGCTATTGGGTCTATGTTCACTCCTCAGTAGTGAGAGATTTGTGTGACCCATGTTTGGATCAGCCCTGTATCTTAAAATGGGTTCAGGAAGGAAGATAAGAAATAGAGTTGGTAACCCACATCTAGTCTTCTAATTCTTAGAGTTGTTATCTTTGATTATTACACTGTCAGATGAGTTCTTATGATGAACTATTGAAACATTTTGTTAGTTCTTTGGTTTCACACAGCTTGGAATTGAATGTTTATTAATTAATCTTTGCTAGGGACCTGCCTTTACTGCAGATGTTCCATGATTAACCCCATACAGGAATTTTACCTTCTATAGCTTGGTATTTATTTAAAGAAAAAAACCTTCAATTCATTTATATTAATTTGGCAATAGTTCTGACTGTGTTGTACTGAACTTTAAACTGTTTAAACTATATCTCATAGTTTAAAGTGGAAAAACAGAAAAATTTTTAGGAATACTGTAGTTTGGATAATAATAGCAGGAAGAATACATAAACTAGAGACTTTTCAGAATAATTACCTAAGGTTAATCCTGTGAATATTGTGGCCAAACATGGTCACTGGGAAATGTTAGTCAAAGGAAGAAGATGAAGATGGTTTGGACATGTTTGCAGATTGCCTCCTGATACTTTGGAAAGGATAGCTCTCCAGTATATGGCAGATGGTAAAGGGAGACATGGATGACCTAAGGAAACCTGGAGGAGGACAGTTGAAAGGGAAATGAGTGTAAACTGGCATGAGATACTATGGGCAGAAATGGAGATCACGTGTGAATGCCATATGTGTCATCAGCAGCATGAAGAGGATATAGATAGATACTGAACTTACTTTAGATTAATTGAACTGGTACTAGTTGGAGCGCAACTAAAAGAGATGAAGCCCCATTACAAATTTTCGAAAACAGTATTACGATGAAACTTTGGACCTATCAAAGATTCAAACAGCGGGGAATGGAGAGTGAGAAGCAACATTGAAATTCATAATCTGTTTAAATCACCATTGATCACTGACATCATGAGATCTAGTAGACTGAAATGCTTGGGGCATATTAAGAGAATGTCAAATAACAGAGAGGTAAAAACTGTATACACAAGGGAGCTGAATGGTCGTAGACCACAAGGCAGACCAAGGAGACAATGAAGAGATAACGTCCAGGTTGACCTACAAACACTTGGTGTCACCAACTGGAAAGAGAAGGCCAACCAGAGAGATGAATGGAGGTGGGTGATATCTTCAGCAATGAACCTCAAGGGCTCGGAATGCTGAAGAAGAAGAAGAAGTAATAGTTTAATTTGAGAACATCATCCTGTTTAATGTAACTGCATACAGTATATGTGCCTGCCTTTAAAAACAGTTTATTGAGTTTGTTGTATATTTTTTTTACATGACAACACAGATCAAATGCAGAATTTTTTGTTTGTTTATCGTTTTCCTCGGTAGTTTTATGTTTAATAGATTTTGCCTTTGTTATCTGAATGTTTTTTTGTGTGTATTTTGTTCCTACGTCATCAGAATTGATGCAAAGTGATCTGTCAGCAAATTGCTTGTAACTGATTTGATTGCAGAAATGTTAGAATGATAAAATTGTTTTTGTAACCTCTGACCTCTGCTGACCATAATGTCGCATAGCCAGATCACATCATATGTATTTACATGTTGTATCAGTGTGATAGTAGTTTTTTTTTCAGTCTAAGCTGTTGTCTTCTATATTTTTATTTTTGACTGTTGAATAATTTATTTTGTGCCACATATGATAGTATTTCTCCTGTGTGTCCTTTGTTCGCACTTAAAATTGTGGTTGGCATATTGCGTTTAGGTTTACAGCTAGGCTGTGATATCTGCCTTGAAGCCCAACATCCATTTTCAGCGGGATCCCCAATTAGTCCCTTTTTATAGCTGCTAGGAGGCAGTGGGTCTACCCTTTCTGTCCCAAAAACCACACAGGGATGACAGTATTTGAGAAGGTATCAGTAATTTGTTTACCTTTTAAAAATGGCATCATTATTACTAGGTGGAACTTCAGCGTCGGTCAACACCAGGTCAACTTGCCCTCAAATGAACGACCTCCGGATGGATATGATAGTGATGATGATAATAGTGATAAAGAAGGACACAGTATTCCAGTGTTTTCAAGTTATTCAGGTGATTTTTATGTTATTTTTCTTCTTATTTTCTGCTTCTTACTTCTCAGTGGAATGTAGATCTACTGACCATAAATTATTGTGGCCACAAGTAACAAATGATTTACTATTTCTTTTGATTTCCGATCGCCTTTTTTTTTCTTTTTTTTAGTTATCAGAACTCACCAAGAAAATCTGACTTTTCCAAAGGGTGACTTCCACAGGGCTAAATTTTTTTCATGAGTTTTTCAAATGGGACAGTGAGGGACATTTTATTTGATTTTCACTGGCACAGGAACTCAGAATGTGGGGATGACCCGATTGTTGAAACCTCGACTACTGCTGCTTTTAAAAAAAAAGGGAAAAGAACCCTTTTCACACTATTGGCACTCCGGGTTCATGATCACATTTGGCCACGTCAATCCAGATCAATTATAACAAATTCCTATTTATGTTGATTAAAATCTCAGGCAAGGGAGGAATTCATAAATCAATCCATGTAATTTTTATAATGCAAATTAACTAAATCTTTAATCACAAAGTGATGGTTAATGCATAGCAGATACTACCTGAAAAAAAAAAAACATTTGACACTGGTCACAAATAAATGAAAAATATTTAATTTATAAAAATGTCTGGCCACTGGCCTAGCACGGTCATCACTGCCATTACTTCCTGTATTTATGACTTTTGTGGTGTAGGCAGGGAGGTCTTTGAGTTTGAGGGTTTAGGGCTGCATGGCTAGTGCAGTTGCCACAGACTACAGGCTGGGATTTTAGTTTTGTCTCTTTAAAAAAATCTAAAACTTTACTGAAGTTTTAAACCTGGGTCTTCTGCATTAGAGCATAGTGTTCTTATCCTTGAAGCCGGCCACTCCTCAACATGCACTCCCTAATTTTCTTAGTGGTTGTTTATTCTTATGCATTTATATAGAAATGTTCTTAGACTGAAAGGGTTAAACTTGAGAATCTCCATGGCTTCCTATCTCATGAAAATTCTTCCATATGTGCGCCTGTTTTACTGACTTTAAATCTTCTTTCTGTGATGCTCTTTTTCCCTTTAATCTTTTTATTTTATTTTCTGAAGACTTGTTTATGACTGGTAGCATTTTGCAGATGGTGTTGTCTGTTTGCCTATTCAAAAAACATTTACTATTCATTGATAAATGTGTCACTAGGTAAGGTCGTTCGATAGAGAAGACAGAAAGGTCTTTGGGAAACTTTTGAAAATGACAAATTCTGTGAGCAAATAGAAGGCTGTGTTAGAGCTTTATGCCAGAAAATATTGAGATGTAATCAGAGCAACTGTTGGACTGCTTTGGCATTTTCAGGTCAACAACAGGGATTTGCAAAGGCTGTGTACTTTTTTAACTGTACGTTTAACCTATTCACCCTGAGAAGCTTCAGAACCAACACTTCTGGTTTGTGCCATGCAAGCAAGAAACCTGCTTCAGTTCTTGTAAAAAAAATACTTGAGAAAAAAGTTGACATAGGTCACAAATATATGGAAAAAAAAATAATTTATCAACATTTATAAAAGAATTCTTCAAAGTCTCATGCATCCACCGAAAGGTGTAAATATAGCAGCCGTACTGTAAATGAACACAACACATTTACCTCTTTGGATGAATGCAGAAGAAGAAACGAAATGAAATACATTCCCTGGAGCCTTAAAATGTATTGGGGGATAAGTACCATTTTTGCACCGAGGCTACCATCAAATTATCATGTCAGAATGTATCCAGGCCTCCTAAAACAGCCCAGGTGCAGACAGAACCCAGTGCTGTTAACTAAGCTTCTCAGGGACAGGCATTTTGGAGCATTTGTGGGAATGAGTCACAGACAGAAATCCTGGATTTGCTGCTTCTTGGTTAAACACTGTTTTGTTTAATGAACACTGATAAAAGTATTGTGATATTTAGAAAGTCACTGATCAATGTCTAATAATTAATTTACTATATACAGATTATGAAATTACATAATATGAATAGCTCTTACAATGGCTTGTAACGTTTTTTGCAGATGAATGTTCAGGGGAGGAAAACTACACTGACGACATCAGTTATGAAAATCGTCTGCAGTTACTTGTACCAGAAGGGAGAGTTGTGGCCCTTAGCAAAACTGATTTCGGCCAAGTATCTTGGGAACACAAGGTATGCAAAAGTAAAATATATAAAGAAATACATCACTGCTCTTTGGATTGCAGTGATTCAAAATTTTAGTTGCTGTTTTAGTTTTGTGAAATTGAAGATTCAGTGAATTTGGCATTATACAAATTTACATGAATTTATTTATGAGTTCTTTAAAAGATTGTCCCATAGCAGATGCTACCTGGTGAAATGATGTTATGCCATCACATATTTTAGACCAGAGCTGTTCAGATTTGTGCATCATGTCCCATTAGTATGTTGGCTGCAGTGTTAGGTGTGTCACACGAACAAAATTTATAAAATCATCTGTATCTCTTGTAAGTTTAACCTCTGGTTTACTACTAGACTGAATTACTGTGTCACAGAATTATGTTTGTCTAAAAAAGTGTCACCAACAGGAAACATTTGACCACAACAATATTGAGGCAAATAAATGAATTAATCATCAGACCACTGCACTGAGTTATTTGTCACTAGAAATGTTTGCACATAATCAAGCACTTTATCAAATTCAACATCAGTTCATTTTGCACAACAATACTATAACTCCTTCTGTGTTTGATTTTAGTTAAATGGTAGAGAAAATGCTGGAAGTACTAAATTAGTTCTTGGCTTAAAAAGCATTGCTTCGTTATTTCTTGTTTAAATAATTAATTATGATCTGTACCAAAGCATATGCAACACACCCATCTGAGCTCTCTCCATTTCAGCAAATTCTACTCTGTAAGGATGATTAGGGGGGGGGGGGTGTAAATGAATTTTAATTCAAAATTATTTTGCAGTATACAAATAGTACATGAGTTAACGAATGATATATTTGCTGAAGACATACAGTCACGCCTGAACAAAGCTAGAGCTGCTTTTGAAAGGATGAGGCAAATCTGGAAATCCAACAATTACTGCAGAGGAACAAAACTCTACAAGAGCATCATTTTGCCAGTTCTTCTTTATGGAGCAGAATGGACAATGACCAAAAAGGATGTACACAAGCTGTCCACCTTCCACCACACATGTCTACGTAGAATTATCAAAATTTTCTGGCCAGATACAATCTCAAACACTAAACTACTTAAAGTCACAAACCAAGAAACTCTAGACAGTATGATAAGCAAGAGAAGATGGAAATGGCCACGTTATGAGAATGAATCCTGATATACCTGTCAAAACAGCTCCCACATGGACACCAGAGGGAAAGAGAAAAAAGGGGCGCCAAAAAACAACGTGGAGACGAACGATGGAAAGTGACCTGAGTGTGGCATCTTTGACATGGAAAACTGCATTGAAGATTGCACAGGACAGGAAAGCATGGAAAGTCCTCTCTGAAGCCTCATGTGCCACTAGGCATAACGAGAACTGATGATGATGTTTGCTGAATTGTTCAGTTTTTATGGAAATCCCTGGGATTTGTTGCCAGAGCTACGGAGTTTGTGCTTTATGTACCACTTTTGGGAAACACTAGCTGTTCTGCCTATAGAGACTGGGCTATTTGGGAGAAAACTAGGTGCACAGAAGTTGGTCATCTTCACTTTAATGACAAAAATATATTCTATTTTCAGTGCATGCACAAATCTTCTCCTTCTTCGCGTTCACCAGTTGTACACTCTGGCAGAAAGTTCTAGTTGTTCGTCCACTCCTGGACTGCAGTCCTGATCCAGAACCTGAGTGTTGCATGTGCATCAGTTTTACAGATCTGAATCACTTGAATGCAGACTGTTGGTTCCTTGCCTCTCAGGCAGACACACTCCGACTTCAAAGGAAGCTCCCAATTAGTTGACTCTTACGACATGCTTTTGGGTAGGCAGTGGGTCCTTCTTGTTTTCCCCACAATGGGGCCCCAGAACCCACACGGGGGCATGCACAAATGAATTCTCCCTCTCTCTGTCACTTGCTCCCTTCCTCCCTCACAACATTTTTCTTTTGCTCCTTCACTCCTCTGTTACTCCTGTTATCTCTCTCAAAACCTCAAAACTTTATAAACATGGCAAATGTTCTCCTACCCCCTTTCCTGAAGCACTCTGATGAACAATCGCTGGAAGAAAGTGCATTAATATATCACATTTTAGAGCAGCTGTGAAACCTGCTACAGCTTTGGGTCTTTATTTTAAACAAAACGTTAAAGTGAGGATTTATTTCCTTGTAGTGACATCTCAGGGAAAATAAATGGCTTGTGGGTGTTACCTTTAACTAGGATTAACTACAAATTAGAATTCTTTAAGATCCAAATGAAAGCATATTTATTGTTCCTTTAATACCACAATTAGCTGGTTAAGTTGTTGCAGGATTCTTCTTGACCGAAACTAACTTAAATTTGGGTACTTTCTTATTAGCTGACCACAAACAGGGGAAATCCACAGAACACGGGACAGTCACATATGTCAGGGGGTGGTAGATTAAGCATATGGTTTTGGTTAAGGTTAGGTAAACATGTGTTTACCTTTACCTTGGAAGAAATCCGATTAAGTACCCTCTAAAATATTGTTCTGTCCTGTGATGTCATTTGTGGTTGGCTAAAAAGAAAGCACAGAAATTTGAAATGAGAAGAAGATTGTGACAGTTATATCTTTTGTCACATTTATTATATTGTGACAGTGAAATCTTTTATCACTTTTATTATATTGTGACAGTGATATCTTTTGTCACCTTTATTATATTGTCTATTGGATTATAAAGACAATAACTACCACCACCAGAATTACTATTGGGTGGATTGTGAGCACCTGGATGATCTGAACCTTGTTTCTATGCCCTCTTACATATTGGAAATAGGTTTAAGGTCCGTATTTTCTTTCTTCTTCTGCTTCTTTTGTCAAAATCTGCTTGTGCCGCTAGGCGTCGCAGTCTATCAGATGATCGGCAACCGAGCTAGGGCACGCTCAGTCGCTTCATATGCCGTGATGTTATGAAGTCTCAAGTTGTCCGTGACTCCTTCAATCCATCTTCTTCTTGGTCTTCCCCTGCCTCTTGGTGTTTCGATTTTCATGTTGTATGCTCTTGATGCTGGCATCGTTGGTTCCATTCTCATTAGGTGACCAAACCATTTAATTTTTTGCTTCTCAATAAATTTAACGATGGGTATGGTTCCAATAGTTCTTGTAATCACATTGTTTCTCACTCGATCTCTTCTGGTTTTATTCGCAGCCATTCTCAAACATCTCATTTCACAGGTGGTTAGTCTTCTCTCGTGTTCTTTCGTATTTTCTTTACCAACTATCAATTGATATTCTCTGACTGTGTGTTACGGGTTCCCTCATTGGAAGCAAAGAATAGCATCCTTTCTGGCATGTCAAAAGAGGCTATGGATAGGGTTGGGCTTGAGGTTGGCTGCCTCATCTTTTGAAAAAAAACAAAACAACGGCCACAAAAAAAACAAACAGCAATTTAAAAGTCAAAAAGAGAAACAAATAATACAGCCATTATGGAGGAGGCTTTTCTAATAGAAGAATGATGACAGGTTGTGTGGAGAAAGCTGAAAGGAGCCAACTTGGAAAATCATCAGAATTGGCAAATGGAATGTTAGATCTTTGAGCTGCATGCGATAGCAAATGATAGGATGTCTCGGCCTGAGTTGGTTGATGGTCTGTGCTAGATTAGGGGTATAGAGGGCAGAAGAAGAAGGAGAATTGAATTCCAGTATTACCTTTCCTACATTCTTCTGTTACCATTTTTAAAGATTGGAATTTCCCATTTAAAAAAAAAAAGTTGAAAAATCCAGTGCCATCTCCCCAAAAAAATGTGGTTACCCCCTGCTGAATTTTGGAAGATTATGTGTGGAGGCTGCAGTAACTTTCATGGTGCAACTCTTTTATTACTGTCTGAAAACAATGGAATAGTTAACTGACTGCTGTGGAAATTTAACCTTACACTCAAGGATCATAAGACTGTTGAACGCATTCACTAATCTCAAAGCCACAGAGCAGCACCCCAAAGAATTATATGATCATTAAAAAAAAACATCTTTATGACAACCAGGCAGACAGGCAAGCACCAGGCAAGTATGATCAGCTGTTACCCTATCATGACTCCAAATGGTTCTTCTTCTTCTTCTTCTTTGTGTTCACCGGCTGTAAATTCAGGTGGAATTTGTAATTGTTCATCCAGTTTTAGACTTTACTCTTGTTACAGAGATTTACTTTCCTTTATACAGATCTGGCTTATTTGTATGCAAGCTTGTTTCTCATCTCTCAGGCAGGTGCACTTAGAAGAAATGCCCCTAATTAGTCGGCTTTTACGATATGCATGCTTTTTAGGGGGGGGGGGTGTACAGTGTGTCTAACCCCCCCCCCCCCCCCCCCCCCCCCCCCCCAAATCAATGGATCCCTAAAACCCGCATGTGGAACCCAGGCTATGAAAGTGCAGATAGAAAATGTTATCCATACCTTTTGGTTATATGATGTTTCTGCTATTCTGGCTAGTTAAGAGGCAATGCCCACACTTCTATTTTCACCAGTTTGATAGTCCCATTGCCAAGGCCTGGCTGCTGAGACATGGCAAACTGAAGGCGATGAGCTTGTTTGATGGTCATCACATTCCTACCCTCCGTCCGTACATCCCAGAGGACATGGACAATGTGACCATGGCCCAGCCGTTACTTTACATTGGTAAGTTTTGCATTTCTGACACAGATTAAGGTTTTGGTTCTTAGTATTTTGTCCAAAGATGACCTCAAAATGTGTACTTATATGTGCACAGTTTTTACCCTCACGCACTGGAAACCCTTTGGAGAGAAAAACCAAGAAAGCAGGAATCCTTCCCCACCACACACACACACGTACTCGATAGCGCCCGCACACACATGTGTTCACATCCGCACACATACTCCTCTCTCTCTCTCTCTCTCTCTCTCTCTCTCTCTCTCTCTCTCTCTCTCTCTCTCTCTCTCTCTCTCTCTCTCTCTCTCTTTAAAAACACCTCACTAATAAATTTAGAATATGTTTATTTATATACAGTTTTTAAATTTGTATAAAAATATATGAAGAGGAGTGATCAGCACACATGAGAATAGAGTAGAGAATTCAACTATACCCCCCTGTGGCATTAACCAAAATAATTCATTGGGAAGAAACCAACAGTCTGCATACAAATTAGTCAAATCTGTCAAACGGATGCACACACAACACTCAGGTTCTGGAACAGGACTGCAGTCCAGAAGTGGACGAACAACCAGAACTTTTCGCCAGAGTTTACAGCCGGTGAATGCAAAAAAAGAAAAAGGAAATTATGGGATTGTTATAAAAAACATGTATCAGTTTTTTTTTAAAGACAGCAACACTCCATCTCGATGCTATTTTTAGTAAATATAATTATACCTAGATCTAAGCACTGCAGTTACAAGTTACAAGCAGAACCATTGTTGTTAACAAGACTTCTCAGGAACAGTTAAAAAAAAAAATGAAATAAATAACAGCAATGCCAGTTATGCGGCTTTTCTTGGATTTGTAAAAGACGGAAATGCTAGGTTTGAGTTTCACTCATAAAATGTTGATCTGCAGCAGACAAAGCAAAATGGGTTACTGCTGGAGCACCATACAAATAACGTCTCAGACTGAGAACAGCTAGGAGATAATTTGCTATCTTGAAGTAGTACTGAAATAAGCTTACTTTGCAGTCCTAACTTGCACAAGACTACACTGGGCTGCTGAAGCCAGTACACCTGCCCCAGTTGTAACTTTTTAGAAATTGAGTGGGATATTTCTTCCTGCATGAGATCCTGGGTCCCATTTTGTTGGAACAAAAAATAGACCCACTGCCTTACCACTTCCCCTCATAACAAGCATGACATAAAAGATGAATAATTAAGAGTGTTTACATCAAAGTTAGAGTGCATCTGTCTGAGAGGTGAGAAATCAACAGTCTGCATACAAATCAGCCAGATCTGTAAAATGGATGTGCACACAAAACATAAGTTCTGGAACAAGACGACCAGTCCAAAAGTACATGAGCAACCAGAACTTTCTGCCAGGGTTTGCAGCTGGTGAACTCTAAAGAGAAGAAGAAGAAGAAGAATGGGATTTTGTGCCTGTTGACCAACAATATCCTGCCTTGTTATATTTTTTCCATGTGTCTGTAAAATTTTTTATGGAATTCACGATATTTATGTTATTCATGTTCGCAGGATCACACAAAAAGCTCTTGTATATACAAGCATCACCACAGCTAGAAACTATTTTAAAAGCCTTCACCAATCGCAGAATAGGGCATTACATGGAGCCAAAGGTCAAGGTATCGTGGCGACCTTATCCAAATACTGGTAGGTTCAACCATATTGCATGAAACTTTCACGTTTAGACACCTGCTTGCAAAAAATATGTTGCAACATATCTTTAGTATTCTCAGCTTTAGAACAAAATCAAAGTATGTTCAAAGCCATCTGCAACCCATATAAAGCAAATATGGTATGTGTATAATTATGGCAATTACAGGTTGGTTATGAAAAGATATATAACTTGAGACATCAGTAATGGATCAAGAAGAAGTTAAACTGTGGCCAAAAAAGAATGAAAGTAACAGATCCGTTTACTTATTTAGAAGCAATATTGATTGTCATTGAAACCCACAGAAAGAAATTATGTTACATTGGCAATACCACAGCAGCCTTTAAAAACCTGAACAAAATATAGTTTGAAAACCGAGCTACAAATACTCAATTCCAATGTAATTTCAATTTTAATATATCCCTGGGAAAGTTGGAGAACTACTAATGACTTGAAATGAACGTTCTACCTCTTCCTCCTCTTCTTTTGTTCGCTCACTGATACCAGGTTGTAACTCTGTGTTGTAGTTTTCTGTATTTGTCTGCGCTTCTCAGGTGGCTTGGGTGATTTGTTCATCTTTTTGCAGGTTTCAGCTGCACGATTAACCCATCTCTTTCTTGGTCTTTCCCTCGCCTTCCTCCCTGATCCAATGAAAGTTGAATGCATAAAAACAAATGCCTAAAGGAAATTGATGAACATAAAACTGGGTGAATTCAACAAAGGCACAGAAAATGGTTAAATGTCTGAACAGCTCTGTTATCAACAGTTATAAGAGGACAGTATATTGGGCATATCAGTAGAATGAGACAGAGAATCACCAAACGGGCACTTAAATGGGAAACATGGATTAAGGAGGTGAGGATGTCTAAAAGAAACCTTAAGGTGAATGCTGATGAAAGAGGCCATCCCTGATATTGAAACAATTGCAAACGATAGCCCTCTGTAACATTTAATGGCACAAAGGATGATGATGATGATAATTATGTCAAAATAAAATTATTGTACGGTAACAAAGGAAGGTCTGTTAATGAACAATAATTTTTTTTTACATTGCAGCCGTGGCACGCACACCTATTTTTAGCACAGATAGACCTCAGATTGCACAAAAGGAGCAGCCCCAGGAGTCAGATAATACCAAGGAGAGCACATCTCTGACAGTCTGGCATGATGACTACCCGTTTGGTAAGTATGTTAATATATAATGTCATTAAACTGGTTTTTTCCAAGAATACATAACTTTCACACTTTATTCAATTTTTTTAATGTACAATGCAAAATGATTCTGGTATATACAAAAGCTTTTTATACTGTAAATAAAAAAATTGTTGCAGCATTAAAGGTGTGTGAACACATGCTTATGGAGAGTGTATGATATGGAGAAAAATGATTGCCCTTCCAGTTAGCAAGACAGTGGATGATGATAGTATGTGTATGTTACTTTCATCATTCTGTCTTCATAGAAGGGAATCATTTTTCTGGAAAGGGGGGGTTCCCTAAATGGTCACCAAGAAATGTCATGGCGTGTAAAAATGGCTGGCCTGTGTTGACCACATTTGTGCAAATTGGTAGATAAAAATTTGGAGCTAGCACTAAAATGAGTACCAGGAAATGCCCTGGTAAGTAAAGGTGGCTGGGAATGCTGACCACATTACCCCATTGAGTGCCAATTGGTCTGTAAAAATGCATCTGGCATTCTATGCCTAATGTGCCATTGGCATGAAAGGGCTGTTTACAGTTTTTAAAAAAACCGAATGCCTATGCACCTCATGGTGCGAAAAATATTCTTTACCTACAAGAAGTTGTTCAACCATGCAATTGGTAAAAATGTTATTTCAGTCTAAAATATGTAAGTTCAGTGCAGAAAAGTGGATCATAGTAAATTTGACCTTCACAGGCTTATGGCTTTATGATTTGGAGTGACCAGTGTGTTTCTGTAAAGGATTTAGAGGATTTGTTTCTTTTCAGAGGATTTAATTGTTTACATTCAGACATCCCTTTGTGGGTTCTGAGGTCCCTTTGTGGGGGGGGGGGGGGGGGAACAAGAACAGACTCAGTGCCTACTCAAAAGCATGTCGTAAGAGTCGACTTATTGGGAGCTTCCTTTGGAGTCTGAGTTCATCTGCCAACAGTCTGCATGCAAATGAGTCAGACCTGTGAAACAGATGTACACGCAACACTCATTTTCTGTAACAGGACAAGAGTCCAGAAGTGGACCAACAACCAGAAATTTCCGCCACGGTTTACAGGCGGTGAACGTGAAGAAGAAGAAGAAAGAAGAATTCAGACATAAAACTACGTATAACTAACATCTCTCTGCAATGCTTGACAGCATCAGCAGTAAGACAGAAGAAGAAGAGCAGACAACAGAAGTTTGTTTCTGTTAAAAAACACTAGCCAAACAGGGGAAATTCACAGGTCACGGGACAGTCTAATATTTCAGGGGGTGGTAGATAGGCTGCATGAAGTCGTGGAACTAGGCTGCATGCACTTATGGAACCTAGGCTGCGCTGTCTCGTCGGATGTAGGGTCAGTTCTAGATGTTTTGGGGTCGTTAAAAGCATCAGAAAGCCAGTAAACCCAGTCTTACCACCCTCTAAAATTATGGACTGTCCTGTGACATCATCTGGGGGTAGGATATTAATAAAGCACCGCCGAGTATTTTTTGAAGACCAGCTGGCTCTTGTTGGATGATGTGGTCAATATCACAGCCATCATCTTTACTCCCCCCAAAAAATTCCTGGTATTCATTTTAGTCTGGACCAAACTTAGGGTCCACATATGTTAAAAAAAAAACTCCTTCAAGGACTATTCAAACCATTGGCCACAGTGCTGGCAGTAGTAGAGGTGTTTATATTGAATTTAACAAACATAATGTTTTAATCTTTACCTCAACCTGCAATATGATGATGATGGTGCCTTTTTTTTCCAGATACTGGTTACTTCCTGTACCCTGAAATTGATAGTCAGTTAATACAGGAGAGCAATGCGATGCTTGTGGAGAACCCCCAGAAGACTGCAGATATTTGGCTGCCAGTATCAGTATGGGTTTATTGGTAAGAATATTTGTCATGTTAAATTAAAATATATATATATATATTAATTGCTAGTTTCTTCTTCTTCTTCAATCACCCTAAAAAAAAGGCATTTGGCACATTTGGTGTTTACAGCTAGGCTGTGATATCTGTGCTTTTCAGCCCAATACATCCAGTTTCAGCAGATCCTTAATTTGTTGCTTTTTACAACATACTAGTTAGGGATCAATAGAGATATTAAAATATGAATACAAAAGGCATGAGGAGCTTTCATTATACACTAGTGAATTTGTGAAGTCAGAAGAAATTAAATCTAAAAATAAAACTACACTAATACTATTTGAAATCTTTAATTCTAATGTTAGATCACTACTGTTGTATGCAGCTGAAACATGGAGAATAGCTAAAAACAATTAGTAATAAACTACAGACAATTATTATGCCTGCACTGAATAGAGGGAATTAAAGGCTATGATAGAATCACTAATATTGAGCTTTGGAGAGAACTAAACAAGTTTAAGTGGACCAAGAGATGAAGAAAAGACTCTGGCATTAGATAGGACACACATTGAGAAAACCTGAGAAGAACATAACTAGAATTTCTTTGCACTGGCACCCATAGAAATAAAATAGAAAAAAAAAAAAAAGAGATTTCAGGATCAGTGGTGCGCCCCTTCCTCCTTTTCCACACCCCCTTGTGTTCCAGGAACAAATTAGGGAGCACATATTTGATTAAATATTTGTATTGTTGTCAGCTGGTATTCGCAGTGCCAAAAGCACATAGTTTAAAAAAGAATTAAAATTAGATAAATCTAAGTTCAGTCCCAGATGTTCAGATCGTTTAGGATGTCAGTATTTTCTTCCTGGTCCTTGGTATTCTGAAAATGTTCTTATCGCATTCCAGGTCAAAAAATCCTATTTTTTTTCTGAATAACTATGAGATAGTCCATGACTCACATCACTATACTATAGGGAAGACGCATGCCTTCACAGTTTTGATCTCTACTTCCTTGCTGAAGCTTATCCGTAGGCTTTTATTGCTGTTTAATAATATTTGCATTGCTGTGGCCATCTTTCTTTTGACTTCTGTTGAACAGTCTCCATTTCTTGAGCCAAGACTGTATATGTAATATATATTGTATTTATGATTAAATATTGAATTAGTCTGTTGTCTCTCTAATGTCTGCGTTCATTTCTTTACAGGAAAGAAGTGGCAGTTTTTAGTGTGACACTGTCGATTCTTGTGCATTTCCTGCTATCAAAGTTTCAGCATGCTAACAGCTCGGCCAGCACATGCTCATTGGAAGCACCAGTAAGTCTTGAGTGATGCACTTGATTACATATTATAATCTATTAATCTACACTTCTGCCATCATTAAACAACTAGAAATCGTGTAGCATATTTATGAAATGAAACTGCGGTTTTTGAGTGTTCATTGGCTGTAAACTCCAGAGGAGGGTCCGGATTAGTCATCTGTCTGGAGTTTTGTCTTGTTCTAGAATCTGAACGTTGAGTGCACACTGGTTTTACAGATCAGACTTGTTTGTTGTGTGCAGGCTGGGAAGCTCTTCTGTCTTTCAAGTACACTCAGTTTTGGAAGGAAATGTCGATCCTGTATATGTTTGTCTTTTTCTAGTATTTGAGCACTTGTGTGTACATTCATTTTACAGATGAGACTTATTTATTTTGTGCAGGTTGTTTGCTATTTTGTTTTTCATGTACGTATTTGCAGTCGTGGAAGAAAACGTTGATCCTGTATATATTATCAGGCCCTTCACAGTGATCCTGTTTCATTGATGACCCTGTAATGGTTAAGATAATCTTGACCAATTAGAGCCCTTGTCCTAGGGCACCATCACAAGTGGGGATGCACCTTTGTGTCCCACCACTAGAAATAAAAATAAGCCATTCTGCAGTGACAGCCAATCACCAGTGAACTTTTAACGCAGACTGGAACACAAGCCCTCAAACAACTCACACCAAAACCATCCTTTGGTTTATTTCCTTCACCTAGCGGGTTCCATTAAAGATACTTTTTAGTTACACTGTTAACATCATTAAAGATAATTTTTAGTTTTACTGTTATCATTCTTTCTCATTTCAGTGGGAGATGACTGTAGATGATTTATTATTTTTCAGAATCTTACTTTTTGTTTGTGTATTATTATAATTTATTTTACTAAGCTAACTTTGTTGATAATTTTGATTTCCTAATTAGACCTTCTAACTATTGTTTGTCTCTAAACAGGATAGCGACAGCAGTAAAAATAGTACCAGCAGTCATGTGATGATAGTCTCGGACAGCACATCTCTTTTGGCAGATAAGAATTCCAGTTCAGGAGATTACGTGTCCAGGTAATGAAACATTGACACAGATGAAATACGTAATAAGTAGACTTACTTACTTACTTAGTCGCTCCTCTTCTACCTTGGGGTGTAGAGGTTTGCCAGAGAGATCGCCAGACGTCTCTATCAGCAGTTTTCTTTCTGGCTTTGTTCCATTCCAGTCCTCTGTCAGTCAGGGACTGTCGGATGTTGTCTTCCCAGCGCACCCTGGGTCGTCCCGGAGGTCTGGTTCCCTGGTTCTTAGCCTCCCATGCTTGCCATGGTGGCCGATTTTCTCCCATTCTGCACACATGTCCAAACCATCGTAACTGTGACTGATCCACTCGGGTTAGTAAGGGCTGGGTATCAAGATCTTGACGTATTGTCTGATTGCGGACTTTGTCCCTTCTTGTCACTTGGACCACCTTTCTCAGGTATCTCATTTCCGAGGCCTGCAGCTGGCTTCTGTGAGCTGTTGTCATTGCCCATGACTCACACCCATAGGTCAGGACTGGTACATAGGTAGAGCGGTAAACAGCCATTTTCGTCCTCTTGCCAATTTCTCTTTTGCTAAGAAACCCTCGGTTTATGGCCTGGAAGAGTCTCCCAGCAGCTGCTTTTCGTGTAGCCAGCTCAGTCTTAATGCCTCCATTTTGGTCTAATACAACTCCAAGGTATTTGAACTGGTTAACCTGCTCCAACGCATACTGTCCCATCATGATCTGGTGTTTCTTCTCCTCTCTTGAGATCACCATGGTTTTAGTTTTAGAGACACTGATGGTCATCCCTTTCTTTTCAAGCTCTTCCTTCCAGACAAGTAAGTTGGACTGAAGGTGTGCCTCTGATTTAGCTATCAGGGCCACATCGTCTGCAAAAGCCAGCTCTGATATACAGATTGGTCTCATCTTCCAGAACCCTACAGAGTACTTCTTTGTCTTCTCCTTACAGGTCTTGATGACATCATCCATCATAAGAATGAAGAGGTAAGGTGAGAGAATATCACCTTGTCTAACACCGCTGGTGGTCTTAAATTCTTCTGACTTTTGGTCTGCTGTTCTTACATAATTTCTGCACTTTTTGTAGAAACTCTGTATTGCACTGATCAGGGGTGCTGGGATGTTTTTCCCTGCCAAGCAGTCCCAGAGCTTGTTCCAGGGTACCTTGTCAAATGCCTTTTCCAGATCCAAAAAACATAAGTGAATCTCACTCTTATATTCCAGGGCTTTTTCACTCATCTGTCTCAGTGTGAAGATAAGGTCTTGAGTACTTCGGTTTGCTCTGAAGCCGCACTGGGCCTCGTCCAGCTGTGGCTCTACCAGACTTCTAAGTCTCTGCTCAAGAATTCTAGAGTAACTTTTACCGGGAATGCTGAGGAGGGATATGCCTCTGTGGTTTTCACATTGTCTGTTATCACCTTTTTTAAATATAGGTATAATGATGGCAATCTCCCAATCTTTTGGTATAGTTTTGCTACACCAGGCTGCCTGGAGAACCTTCAGTAGAAGGCGCTCACCTTCGACTCCCATATATTTGACCATCTCTGGTGTTATACCATCATGACCTGCTGCTTTTCCCAGCTTAATCTTCTCAATAGCTGCCTTCAATTCTTCCATCCTGATGTTATCTTCCCCATGATTGAATTCCTTCTCAGCAGTGAGGTCCATTATTTCTGGGTCATGACTTCCCTTAACGCCGAGGAGCTCTGAGAAGTATTCTTTCCATCTGCCCATGATATCATTTGTAGAAGTAAGCAGAGCCCCTTCCTTGTCTTTTATGAATTTAAGTGGGCACTCTTTCTCCTTCCTCATGTTCTTAAGGGTCTTGTAGAACAGTTTTTGGTTTTCTCTTGCATTCTTTTCCAACTTTTTTTCCAAACTCTTCCCATGATTTCTGTTTTGCTTTAAGCACAATATTTTTGGTCTCTGTTCTGAGTGCCACATATTGTTTATATTTGTCTATTTCTTCAGCTGTGTTCCTGGCTGCCAGGTATTGCTTCCATGCCCTTTTCTTTTCTCCTATTTTCAATTTGACTTCTTCTGTCGCCTTCCACTTGGGACTTCACCACATGCTTCTACTGCAGCTGCTGTGAGGATATTCTTGAATCTGCACCAGAGAGTTTCAGTGTCCTCTGATGATTCTTCTTCAGTTCCTATTGCTTTCACTATAAGCTCCTGGTATCTAGCCTTAATATCTGGCTGTCTTAGCTTGTATGCTTTAATCCTCATCCCTTCTTGGTTGCTTGGTTTCTTGCATAGTTGTCGGTGTTGCCTTGGTGGAGCAGTTCTTTCAGTTGTTTTCTTTATTGTGACCAGACAGTGGTCACTTCCAATCTCTGGTCTTCTCGTGACTCTGGCGTCTCTCTCAAACTTGAATGAACTTGTCCTTACTATGGCGTAGTCAGTGATGGATTTCATTCTTTAAAGGTTCACATCTTGTGTATACATGTATACGTTTGTGGGGGAATAATTTTGTGTTTGTAATGACAAGGTTATGTTCCCTGCAGAATCTTAGGAGTCGCTTGCCATTATCATTCAAAACATCTTCACCATATCTCCGGATCACTCCACCCCATCTACATTGATCACTTTCTACTCTGGCATTTAGATCTCCTAGGAGGGTAATTTCATCATGACAGTCATTTATGGTCCTTTGGAGCAGTTCAAAGAATTCTTCTTTAACATCTACTCGCTCATCTTCATTTGGCCCGTACACAATGACAAAATTGACAATTTTATCTTCTTCTTTCAGATCTAACACCATTATTCGCTCTGAGATGAATTTCCATCCCTTGATGTTACTAACTTGATTCCTGGCCACAATACAGCCAACACCTCCCTTGGCTCTCTCCGTCATAGGGACACCACTGTAGAGCAGCATACTTCCATCGTGATCTGTGATTCCTTGCCCCTTTTTCTTGGTTTCAGTCAGAGCCAAGACTCCTAATTTTGCTTTCCTCATCTCCCCTACTAACTCGTTTTCCTTTCCGTTAATGCCTCTTATATTCCATGTTCCATAAATCGTAGTCCGTAAGCCATGCCAGTTCGTCGCCGTTAAGATCCGTCCGGTTTTCTCTCTGTAGTTACTTGTAATCGTGGTTTAAGGCAAACAGGTGATTGGCCTGTTGTGCCTTTGCATGGTGGAGGGGCTGCCTCCTTGCGGCCTCCATGCAGGCCGTCTGGCTGATTCACGGTTACCCACTACTTCCGGAGACGCATGAAGCACTCAGGTTCAGCCAGACCCTCCTCCTTTTACAGCCGGGCTTGGGACCGGTCTTAGCGGAGTTCGTAATAAGTAGACACAAAAGACAACTGTGATAAAAAAAAAACAATTGCATTTATTGGGCTTAGGGCACAGATATTGCAACCCAGCTGTAAACCACAACCGCCCTTTTAGGGGTGAAAGGAGAAGAAGAATTTTAATAAATTTTTGGCACCTGTTACAGTTCACGACTCGCTTTCAAATCCAGCTGTGACTCGCTGCAGCCCACGGCCGGTGTTCAAAACCAGGGGATTCCCATGGTTCACAAAGCCTCTAGGTAATGGGTACTAGAGTAAACACTCTGGAGTAAATGTAGGAATGTTGCTGTAACTTCAGAGTTATGTGCGGATGGCGACACAGGCAGACAGTTTCTTATCAACTGTCCTTTCTGGTGGCAGAGCACTTATGGTTTATAACTGTGTGCAGTGATGCTGGTTCAGATCTCCCAACTTTTTTTTTTTTTTTTTTAAATGTATTTCATAAAAGGTTTAGTGTTTTGGGAAATCATCATCATCGTCAAGTGCCTTGTTGACCGGCATGGGTGACCATGCTTCTTCACACCTCCAACAGCATGCATCAGTTTTTGTGCTAATGCCCCTCCATGCAATGACAAAAGGCTGTCAAAAATCATCTTATGTTGTCTTCCTCTGCTTCTTTTTCCACAGAACTTTTCAGTGGTCACAGCATATTCTATTTTCCTTCTTCTCATAATATGACCAAACAGTGATGACTGTATCTTTCTGATGTGTGTGACAAGTTTTCTTTGAGCCTTTACTTCTTTCCAAACAACTGGATTGCTCTTTTTGGCTGTCCAAGAAATTCTAAAAATTAATTTTTAGGGAAATGCACAATGATATTTTGGGTTTGCTGATATAATTCATTGAAAAGAACAGGGAGAAACTAGGAGATAAATATCTTAATGGCTTGATCACATGGCGTAAGGAGTTCCAGAACACAGTCATGGAACGAATCTTGGTGATGTATTGTAATGAGATGGTGAACCAAGACCACCCATATTTTTTGCCCTGGTACATGATGATAATGTATCTTACCGTCTTCCTCATGGATAGAAAGTTCATATAAATGTGCTCACATCAGTGTTTTAATCATCTTGCACTGGAAACACTTTTTTAAAAAAGGCCATGACCCCGTTGGAATTCTAGAAAAAAATGTGTTAAACATTTTACACTGACGGCCAATACATTCATTAAAAATGTATTCATTTACATTAATTAATTGTGTCCACCAAAAGATATAAAGATTTATGTAAAGACTAACCAGTTTTCACAAACAGGGTGAAGCAGTAAGAGGACTACATTCTTAGGGCCTAAATAAAGATATGTATCATATAAATCATTCTTTGACGCTGTTGCCTCTATTACTTAATCTTACTAGAAAATTTTGTGCCACCTTGGCTTTTAAAAATCTGTTTGGCTCAAAATAGACCCCTCCCCCTCCCCATGATATTTTTTAAACTTTTAATGTAGTAATATCCTGACCTAAACATTTGCGCTGGTGCGTTAACTATGCATCTTGTAAGCAAGTCACTATAGACCAGTCACAAGAGTGACATTTACAGGGAGTTAAATCCAACCTGAAATATCGGTTTTGTAGCTTCTTTGGGAAAAAGAGTAAAATAATTTGTTCAGCAAAGCAAAGTGAAATGGTATGATAGAATAACTAATGTAGAACTTTGGGAGAGAACTAAACAGGCTCCAGTAGATCAGGAAGTGAGGAAAAGACGCTGGCGTTGGATAGGGCACACACTGAGAAAACAGGAGAACAGCATTACTAGAATGTCTTTGCATTGGAACCCACAGGGGCATAGGAATAAAGGAAGGCCAAAAAACACATGGAGAAGAGAGCTGGAGAACGAGGTTAGAAAGATTGGGAGGACATGGGGAGAGCTCCATGCAATGGCGAAGGATAGAATGACTTGGCGTGAGTTGGTTGAGGGCCTATGCTCCATTGGGGTATAGAAAGGCAGAAGAAGAAGAAGAAGAAAGCAAAGTGGGTAGTGAAGGTATGTAAACCCACAGCAGACAGATAACAAATTTAATGAAGTCTTGAAAGCCAGTAACTTACAAATAAATTTAGTATACTTGTATCAGAAGAGGACAGTCTACATTCTTTAACCGCATCATGAGAAGGGTTTAACTGGAGTATGTTGTAACAGCAAGAAGGCTGGGAAGTGAGGGGGGGGGGGGGGGGGGGGGGGAACTAAGCTAGCGATGTTGGCATCATTGCCTGGAAGAACATCTGTATTAAAAATAAATGGTAGTACAAAAGACAGAAGACTGTGAACTAGTATGATCAACGTCGTACAACAGGGCTGTTTGGCTGGTGACCCTTGGGCTAAATCTGGCCTGTGGAGGCCTAGCAATTGGCCCGCGGTACATTACTAATTGTATTAATGGAATTTCTATGCCGGGGCTTGGGCCTTTGGCCCGTGACAGCACACATTTTCAATATTTTTGGTCCCTGAGTAAAGTTACTTGAATAGCTCTGCCATACAACATAAACTATAAGAAGAAGTTGAACATGGAAGGCAAAAACCAGTTCTTCAAAATATCGTGCTGAAGAAATATTGGCAGAAATTTCAATCTTTGCAGTTTTACTGTACAACACATACAATACTAGATCTCTGTATTAGGATGAACAAAGCAGAAAGCAGAATCCTGCACCCTGTTAGAATTCAGATTTTGATGTAATAGACACAAAATCAGTTGCCAGATTTTAATGCATACCAGTGTATTTCAGGTTTGCCTCAGATTTTGACTGCCTTCATTGCTTAGGAAAGGGTGGGTTTGGAATTGTGTTTGAGGCAGTTAACAGAGTAGATGATCAGCACTATGCAGTGAAGAGAACTGTGCTCCCAAGAAGGTATGTTGTTTCCTGTTTTCAGTATGCTAGTCATTTGTCAATAATGCAGAATGTCATAATCTGTATTGAATATCAGCATAGGAATTTTCTATTATTTCCTTTTACATCTATAATATTATAATTCTTATATCTGTCAGGGTGTTGAGTTTGCATCCCCTATAAATTAGGTTGTAGATTAAAAAATCTTTGCCCCCACCTATATTTGGCCCAGCTGAAAATGGCTACCAGAAAATTTATTTGGAAGTAAACGTATGATATTGACCACATTACCTGGAGATGCAAAGGTGTTGAACCACACGTTCCCCTTTGAGTTCCAGGACCCCATTGTGGGGAAAACAAGAATAGACCCCCTGTCTCCCAAAAAATTGGGAGCTTCCTTCTTCAGAGTGCATCTGCACGAGCTGCAAGAAACAACCAGCCGCACACAAATAAACCAGTAAAACTGACAAACATGCAAAACGCAGGCCCCGGCACGAAGCCAAAATCCAGATGGACAAACAACTAGGACTTTCCACTGGAGCTTACAAAAAAAGAAGAAGAAGAACCACAACTGGTGGTGCACTAGAACCAGGCTGATACTGGGCAAGACCTATCTATACATCTCTGAGGTCATCCTAGAAACATATTCCCAGTTGGGTCAGTCTAGTTAGAATTGCTGTTTCCTTCAGAGTCAGAGTGCATCTGCCTGAGAGACAAGAAACCAACAGTCTGTACATATGCAAGCCATGTCTGTAAAACAGAGTACAACACTTAAGTCCTAGAAAAAAGAACAGCCAGGACTTTTCATGAGTTTACAGCTGGTATATGTGAGGAAGACCACATCATGCATAAGTGTCTAACATGCTTGGACCATTACTTTTCCAGCTGAGGAGATGGGACCTCTATAAGATGTTAAGATTGCAAAACAGAATAAAACATGTCACTGTATAGAAATTAATAGTCTTGTATTCCAAATCGAATTGGTTTTTCTTAACTCTCACATTGACTAAGACAGTCATAGAATAGGCGGACATGAACATTACAAGTTCTTTAAAACTATATTTTACTCCGTTGTATGACATTCTAAGTCTCTTCAATCTACATTCATATTAGTACTGTACCTTTGTGGGTTCTGGACCCCACTTTTTGGGAATAAAAGAAAAGACCTTAGTGGGGAGAAACTGACAGTCTGCATACTTGTAAGCCAAATCTGTAGAATCAATTTACATGAAAAATTCACGTTCTGGGTGGAGATTGAAGTCCAGAAGTGGATAAACAACCAGAACTTTCCGCTGGTGTTTACAACCAGCGAATGCTAAGAAGATGAAGATTTTTATATTAGTACACGTTAAGAGCTGTGCACAGAGTCCATTTCTTGGGGGATGTCTTGTAGTCACCTTGCTTATGCACTTGCCAAATGCATCTCTGTCCCTTGCATGCTTCAGAATTTGTGCATTTGACAATTATCCTGGTAATATTTACTTGAGACTGGGGATATTGAGCTGTTTAGAGATTGACAGATTCTCATGCTGTTGACTGCTAAGTAGTTATGCAGATCACACTTCATTAGCCAGTCGAAGGATAAGGAGGGAGAGGTGGGGGGAATGAAAGTGGAAGAGAGAGCAACAAAGAAAGGAAAATGGAGATTCATGCATACACTCTTACTTACTGTCCTCCTGTTTGATTTAAATCATCTGGGACAGATGTTATTTTGATGTTTTACATTTTCAGTGAAGGGGCGAAAGAAAAAGTGCTGAGAGAAGTCAGGGCTTTAGCAAAGCTGGAGCACATAGGCATTGTTCGATACTTTAATGCTTGGGTGGAGTCTCCACCAGCAGGTTGGCAAGAGGAGAGAGATAAACTGTTCCATTTCAGGTATGGTAATTTGTGTTAGATTGCTAATAAAGGGAATTGATTTCATTCATTCATTATCCTGTTGTGCCATTATGTGTCACATAGGGCTCGCAGATTATTCCTCGATTCCTTTATATCCTGTGCAATCTGTTTAATATCATGGATGAAATCGAGACCAGCAGCTTTGGCCTCTCTAATCAGCGTTTGTCTTAGGGTTTCCTTTGGGCATACCAGCCTTCTCAATCACTTTATTTCCCATTTTAGTGCCTGTTTGGTGATTCTCTGCAGGTGTCTTCTCAGAATGTGTCCATTATAGCGCCATCTTCTCTGTCTCATAACTGGTAATACTAGTGGTTGCCCAGACATTTCTCTTATTTCTTCACTCCTTTTGAATTTATCTCATTTTTATTTTCATAATTTCATCAGAAGTTTGTTTTCAAATGCATTTAACTTTCCTTCCATGTCTTTAGTGGTGCTACAGTTGTCACTTGCAGAATTGAAAATACACAACTTGGTTTTAAAACTTTACAGTTTAGAGTTCCATGTTTTGTTCAAGCTATTGAAAGGTGCTATATTTACTAAATCATTTGTCTTTGCATGTTGTTGTTATTTTTACTCATCAAAATCAAGATCTTTTAACTGTCTGTTCTCTACCCAGTCAATGCCGGTGTTTCCAGCACAACATTTTTTCATCACCCAGTCAATGGTTAGGCCAAATAGCAGGAGAAAAAAAATGCATCCCTGTTTCACTCCAGTATCAGCTATAGACCAGTCACTTAGACCATCAACTGTTTTCACTGCACAGTCTGAACCTACATACATTGCTTTTATAATATTTATTACTTTCATTGCTGTACCATAACACCAAAATTCCGGTTAAAATGGACGCTTGACAGCGGCGCTGTTCGAAGCAGAGGCAAATTTTTTGCTTCTGCCGGATGGTGGCCGAAGTATTTTTGCTCCATTTGTAGACTGGGTATAGTTTCGTCGCCCAGCTTCTGAGTTGAATGAATTCCAGAGAAATTTGACTAAAAAGCTCAACAAAATGGGAAAAAGGAAAACGTGCACAAAACAACACAACGTAACGTTTCGGCCAGGCAGCCTTTTTCAAACACAAGTGGACTACACAAAAGAGGAATGGAGAGTATGTAGATCTCTAAGGGGTGACGTGAGCGACGTTTAAAAAATGTGATGCGGAATAAATGAAATAAAATAAAATAAACTATGGCTTAAAAATATAGTCACAATACTGGGAATAAAAGAAATGCAAGTGTTAATGATACATAAATGATATTGATAAGAAATAGAATATGGTAATAATATGAAATAAAATAAAATAATTAACATTTAAAATGTAATAAGATTAGAACTATTTAGATGAAGGTATGTTGGATATTGATACCTCTTGGACTAAGAACGCCAAGGCTGTGGATAAGGCGATTTTCCAAAGCGAGGCGGGTAGTATGATCGCCAGAGCAAGATTTTAATGCTGTGACAGATATGTCATCTTTACCGCTGTGGTCAGGGCTATTAAAATGAAGAGGGATTGGTTTGAGTGTCTTCTTGTCGATATCAGAGAGGTGTTCCCGGAAACGATCAGCTAGCTTCCTGCCAGTCTCCCCAATGTATGCCATGCTGCATCGTTTGCAGATAATTGCATAAATTACGTTGCGGGATTCGCAAGTAAAAGGTTCCCTAATTTGAAAAGAACCATTAGGGAAACTGACCGAAGAAGTCTGGACAACGAAAGGACATGTTTTGCAGGTGCTGCGTGAGCACTGAGTAGTCCCAAGAGGAAGTGCTGTATGGATCGGTGGGAGTCGGCTTCGGACAAGTATGTCTTTAAGGTTGCGATCTCGTCTGTAAACTAATCTAGGTTTCTCACTGAAGATAATCTTGGTGTCCGGATCAGAGCGGAGGATGTCCATTTGGACATCCTCCGCTCTGATCCGGACACCAAGATTATCTTCAGTGAGAAACCTAGATTAGTTTACAGACGAGATCGCAACCTTAAAGACATACTTGTCCGAAGCCGACTCCCACCGATCCATACAGCACTTCCTCTTGGGACTACTCAGTGCTCACGCAGCACCTGCAAAACATGTCCTTTCGTTGTCCAGACTTCTTCGGTCAGTTTCCCTAATGGTTCTTTTCAAATTAGGGAACCTTTTACTTGCGAATCCCGCAACGTAATTTATGCAATTATCTGCAAACGATGCAGCATGGCATACATTGGGGAGACTGGCAGGAAGCTAGCTGATCGTTTCCGGGAACACCTCTCTGATATCGACAAGAAGACACTCAAACCAATCCCTCTTCATTTTAATAGCCCTGACCACAGCGGTAAAGATGACATATCTGTCACAGCATTAAAATCTTGCTCTGGCGATCATACTACCCGCCTCGCTTTGGAAAATCGCCTTATCCACAGCCTTGGCGTTCTTAGTCCAAGAGGTATCAATATCCAACATACCTTCATCTAAATAGTTCTAATCTTATTACATTTTAAATGTTAATTATTTTATTTTATTTCATATTATTACCATATTCTATTTCTTATCAATATCATTTATGTATCATTAACACTTGCATTTCTTTTATTCCCAGTATTGTGACTATATTTTTAAGCCATAGTTTATTTTATTTTATTTCATTTATTCCGCATCACATTTTTTAAACGTCGCTCACGTCACCCCTTAGAGATCTACATACTCTCCATTCCTCTTTTGTGTAGTCCACTTGTGTTTGAAAAAGGCTGCCTGGCCGAAACGTTACGTTGTGTTGTTTTGTGCACGTTTTCCTTTTTCCCATTTTGTTGAGCTTTTTAGTCAAATTTCTCTGGAATTCATTGTATTAGCTTGACTGCAGTCACCCCCATAGTTTCACCATTCTGAGTTGAATGCATGGCGTGACCCTGTGAGCTGCGGATTGCATTTGGAATGTATTTTCGACTGTGACCAACGTAGTGGTGTGAATTGTAGATTCAGAAAATGGCGTGATGCCGGTCGTGCAATGTTGGCGGTGCCCGTATGTGATTACAATTGATCGCGTGGGCAACTGCTGATCTGTTGGCAACAAGTTCTGCTATCATCAATGATGAACTGCATTTCTAATGTTGGACTGTTTGTGCTAGCACTTTGGATGGCTACCGTATGCTTTAATGCGAGTGTATGCTAGATATGCTGAGACAGCAGTCTGTCAATCTTTCCACAAGGGACTGTGATAAACATTCTGAGTGTTTTTCGTTGGCACAGGAGCGGAGCAAAGATGGGGCGACCCGTTTGCTATGAAGCTGAAACTAAGACTACCAGACTACCAGACCAAAATTCTCTGTAGTGATGTTCTATGTGAAGTATCAAAAGCTTTCTTAAAGTCAGTGTAATTCAAAATAATGGATTTTTTTTCCTCAAAAATAAGTCACGGAGCAAAATATTGGATCTAAACAGCTGGTGAAGTAGATAGTTTTCCATTAAACTGTTAATGATAATATAATCTTCAGTATACAGTTAGTTAGTGAGAAACTTTGGTGGATATAATAATGAGAATTTCTAGTGTACATGTAATAAGACTCTGGTATATAACTGTTGAGAAACTAGCATTCATTTATAAAAGGAATTTGTGGTGTATATCTAATAGGAATCTTAGGTGTACAATTAATGGGAGCATGCAGTGTACACAAACGGAAAATCTTTGATTAATTGCTAATGACAATCAAGCATATTCTTTCTGATAATGAGAATTATATATTCTTTCTGCTAATGAGAATTATATATTCTTTTTGCTAATGAGAATCACTGATATTCTTTCCGCGAATATGATTATTTATATTCGTTCTGCTAAAAGAAATTGGATATTCTTTCTGCTAATGAGAATTAAATATCCTTTCTGCTTATGAGAATTATCTTTCTCCTGTTGAGAATGTGATATTCTTTCTGCTAATGAGATCACCGGTATTCTTACTGCTATTAAGAAGGTGATGTTCTTTCTGCTAATGAGATCACTAATATTCTTTCTGCTAATGAGTTCACTAATATTCTTTCTGCTATTGAGGATGAAATATTCTTTCTGCTGACATTCTTTCTTCTAATGAGATCACTAATATTATTTTTGCTATTGAGAAGGAGATAATAATGAGATCAGTGATATTTTTCTGCCAATGAGATCACTGATATTTTTCTGCTAATGAGATCACTGATATTCTTTCTGCCACTGAGAAGGTGATATTCTTTATGCTAATGAGATCACTAATATTCTCTCTGCTATTGGGAATGAGATATTCTTTCTGCTAATGAAAATTAGATATTCGTTCGCTAAGGAGATCACTGATATTTTCTGCTAATGAAAATTGTATATCCTTTCTTCGTGTTTACCGGCTGTAAACTCCAGAGAAAGTTTGATTGTTCGTCCACCTCTGACATTAGCCTTGTTCCAGAAGCTGAGTGTTTTGTGCACATCCATTTTACGTATCTGACATCTGTATGCGGATTGTTGGTTCCTTGCCTCTCAGGCAGATGCACTCTGACTTTGAAGGAAGCCTCAAATTAGTCGACTCTTATGACATGCTTGTTGGGATGGCAGTGGGGCTGTTCTTGGTTTTTCTCACAATGGGTTTCCAGAACCCACATGGAAACTTTCTACTAATGAGAATCATTTATATTTTTTTTCTGCCAGTGAGGCTGAAATATTCTTTCTGCTATTGAGAATTACTGATCTTCCTTTTGCTAATCTGCTAATGAGAATCACTGTTATTCTTTCCGCTAATGAGAACCAATGATTTTCTTTTGCTAATAAGAAACATTGTTCTTCTTTTTTTTGCTAATGAAAATTAATAATTTTTTCTACTAATGAGAATGTCTGACATTCTTTTAACTTATGAGAACGTCTAATACTCTTCTGATTTTTTTAAAAATCTGATATTCTTCCTGCTTATGAAAATCTGATGTTCTGTCCGTTAATGCAAATCACTGATATTCTTTTAAATTCCTCTGTTCAAAATAATTTACATGTGCAATAATATTTATTTTTTCAGTGACCTGTCAGGACCTACATCATTCAGCACCTACCCTGAACACCGCCAGTCAACAGAGAAACAACCTCAACATACCAAAGCTGTAAAAACGCATGGCAAGAGAGTTAATATTGGTGCCCAACATATACTGTCTACTGACAGAGCAAACAATCTGCTGGATACAGATTCTATAATATTCTCTTCTCAAACAGCTGCTAGTAATTCCTCATTAAAACATTCTGGGAGTGGAGAATTCTCAGTCCATCCAGACCTCAGTGCAGGCTCAGTAGTTTCAAGTGACGGTGATTCTACAGACATTAAAAGTTATTTATTTTCATTAGACTCTCACCCTTTAATCAACAACGGAGATTTTGACACTGGCAGTATAAATGACAGCAGATCAAGCATCCCCTTTTCAAACTACACCTCTAGTTCCTCTGGGATGCAGTCACATAAGACTGACCATTCACATCGGAGGCTGTCAGGGGACAGTGTTGTTTTTGACAGTACAGGCAACAGGCCATCTCATAACATCAATGCATTAGCAGAAACCATAAATTCTACTGATGACAGCATTGTATTTGAGTATTCAAGAGCCTCAAAAAACTCGATAGAAGAATCTAAGCAGGGACTTAGCTCGAACAATTGTGATCATCACACTGTTGATATTTCCTTATTGTCACACGAAAGTGAGCATGATAAAAACAAAGAGGACAAGCAGAAACAACAACAGGTGGCTCTACCAGGCAACAAATTATTCCTGTATATTCAGATGCAGCTGTACTGCAAAGAAACATTAAAAGAATGGCTGAATAACAACACTCTGAATAGAGATCGTCACACTGTTCTGGATATTTTCGATCAGATTGTTTGTGCTGTGGACTATGTTCATAGCCAGGGGCTCATGCATCGAGATCTGAAGGTTAGTGTTGGAATCATTTTTAAATAGTAAAGATAGTCCTTGAATGTTGAATTAAGAATCGACATCATAGCACTCGAGACAAGTGGTCCGACCCCATCTTCAGCGGCCAGCGAAGATTTCAAATTCCAATGGCATCAGTAACTATCTGATTGTATATCCATCTTGCCTCTCCCTTGAGTGTTGAGCGTCGGCCAGATTCCCTGGGAACTCCTTGCAGCACCATTCTCTTCAGGCCATAATGATCTATCTAAGCCTCCTCACTGTTCACACGCTCCCAAAGGGTCTTCACATCTAGCTTGTCATACATGAGTTCACCACCAAGTATTGCAGAACTGGCCAGTCTATCTGCCTGTTCATTTCCCAATAAAGATGGTCAGTCCTGTGGTAGAATGTTATAATCATGGTTCCCCTGTATGTGTTCTGAGGCCTCATTCTGGGGGAAAAAAGGAATAGACCAACTGCTTCCCAAATAAGCATGTCGTACAAGGCAGCTAATTGGTGACGTTTCTTTTGAAGTCGGAGTGCATCTCACTGAGAGGCGAAGAACCAACAGTCTGGTCTGCAAATGAGTAAGCCAGATTTATAGAATGGATGTGCATTCGTCTTCTTCTTTGCGTTCAGCAGCTGTAAACTCTGGTGGAAATTTCTGGTTGTTCGTCCACTTCTGGACTGCAATCCTGTTCCAGAAACTGAGTGTTGTGTGTGCATCCATTTGACAGATCTGACACATTTGTGTGCAGACTGTTGGTTCCTTGCTTCTCAGGCAGATGCACTCCGACTTCGTAGGAAGCTCCCAATTAATCCACTCTTACGACATGCTTTTGGGTAGGCAGTGGGTCTATTCTTGTTTTCCCTAAAATAGGGCTCCGGAAACCACAGGAAAGGGGGGGGGGGGTAGGGGGATGTGCATACAAAACTCAAGAACTGGAACACGACCGAAGTTCAGAAGTAGGCAAACAACCAGAACTCTCCGACATATACAGCCATTAAAGGCTAAGAAGAAGAAGAAGATAACCATGGTTGAGTAACAGAGATAATCCCATTATTAAAAAAAAAAAAAAGTGGTGTAATAATGTTTGAGCAGTGATAAGTTAGAAAAGCAGAAATGGATAAGTTTAGTGTTGTAATCATAGTTAGTCTAAGATATTGAGACTGTTGTAGATATAATCCCATGACAGTTCTGTAATAATGATCAAGATGACAACAGCTGGCAGAAGCCAACTTCAGGCCTAAAAAATGAGATATCTAAGAAAGGTGGTCCAAATGACAAGAAAGGACAAAGTCCGCAATCAGACAATACATCAAGAACTTGAAACCCAGGCCTTACAAACCCGAGTGGATCAGTCACAGTTCGATGATTTGGACATGTATGCAGAGTGGGAGAAAATCAGCCACCATGGCAGGCATGGGGTGCTAAAAAGCAGGGAACTAGACCTCCAGGGCGACCCAGGGTCTGCTGGGAAGACAACATCCGAGAGTCCCCGACTGACACAGAGGACTGGAATAGAACAAAGCCAGAAAGAAAACTGCTGATAGAGAAGTCTGTCGATCTGTCTGGCGAACCTCTACACCCCAAGGTAGAAGAGGAGCAACTTCTTCTTCTTCTTCTTCACTTCCCCTTTTACCGCTGTGGGTGTCGAGGGAGATATAAGGTTCTGTTTCTAGCTCTTCTGGCTGCCTCGACCATAGGCATATCGTGCTGTTGTAGAGTTTCTCTGATGTTATCCTTCCATCTTGTTCTTGGTCTACCCCGTGCTCTACGTCCTTCTTCTCTTCCCATGTATGCTTTGTATGGTATGGTGTCACAAGGCATTCTCTCTAAGTGGGCAAACCATTTCACTTGCTGTCTTTGTATGTAGAGGAGCAACTAAGTAAAGTAAATCATCGTCAGGCAGGAGAGATAATCACACTATAGATGAGTCAAGATTAAGTAGTAGTTATAATCTCATGACAGATTAGTGTTGTAATCATTGTTAACATTAAGTTATAAAATAAAAGAATCCTCTTCCACGCATTTTGGCAAATAGGGCTAGACCTTTATTTTATAGACCAATTGGCACTCTGTGGGTGAAATGATCACATCTTGCAGGCTGCCTTTACTTCCCACAACTTTACCTGGTATCAGTTTAAAGCTGGGTGAGAAAAAAAGTCTAGCGCAACCAAAATTAGGCCACTTATAACAGCATGAATAAGTGCAAGCCTGCTTAGCGTAAGCAAAAATTTAAGCGCTCCAGGTTACGACTGCTAACATCGACAGCAAAATGATGTCCGCCTTTACAAGATGTCAGACCAAACAGGATGGCCAGGTTTCCACGAGACTCACATTCAGATCTTAAGGTTCATTCAGCTCTCACTTTTCCCCCGTCAAACACACTGTCCCCAGATGGAAAACAAGACTGACTCTTCTAGATCATTCTAAGCTTAAATAATCGTTCTCTTCCTCGAGTTCTTGAACATCAGACGCATGTAATTCATGTTTACTCTTGCAAATTTCAGCCCGCTTGCCCCAAATTATTCATTGTACTCCGTACTCGATACCATTCAGCCAAATTTAAGCACTTAATTTATGTTAAGTATTTAACCTTATTTCTAAATGCGAACAATAATTAATTAATAAGGAGAAAATGACTCATTACACCTTTGTTTTAAATATATGGAAATTAGTAGATTCATTAAAAGAGTTAATGCTCATAACATTGTCATCCAACACAGCCATCAAACATCTTCTTCACTGCTGATGGAATAGTCAAAGTGGGAGACTTTGGCCTAGCAACAGAATTTATTACTCAGCAAGATGAGGAATCAGAGCCAGTCTACAGCCCAGTGGGCAAGCACACAGCAGAAGTGGGCACCACACTGTACATGAGTCCTGAACAAGTCAGTATCAAGTTTTTGTCATGTAACTTCCTTTTCTCACTCACGTCTTGTCTGATGACTGTGTATGTAAATACATCCACGAGGTTACATTTATGTTGATCCCTTGTGGGTTCTATGGCACAGTTTGGGGGGGGGGATAGACCCACCGCACCCTAGCAAGCATGTTATAAAAGGTGACTAGTTTGCTGAAATCATGTGTGTTGCGCTGAAAGCCGCAGTTATCCTAACCTAGCTTTAAGCAACAATATTTATATATATCTTCTTCTTCTTCGCGTTCACCAGCTGTAAACTCTAGCGCAAAGTTCTGGTTGTTCGCCCACTTCTGGACTGCAGTCCTGTTCCAGAACCTGAGTGTTGCATGTGCATCCGTTTGACAGATCTGACTCATTTGTATACAGACTGCTGGTTCCTTGTCTCTCAGGCAGATGCACTCCGACTTCGAAGGAAGCTCCCCAATTAGTCGACTCTTACGACATGCTTTTGGGTAGGCAGTGGGTCTATTCTTGTTTTTCCTATAATAGGGCCCCGGAACCCACACGGGGAACAACAATATAATGTTCCAACCATTTTTTTTAAAGAGCTAACACTGAAGAAGAACCAATTTGTTTTGTCAACATTTTTAAATATATTTTTTTCCTCTTCAAATTTTGTAGCCTCTCTTCAGTCAAGTGTCTGAGAAATATTTTGTTTTCATATATTTAGAAAACAAAACTGTACTAATGACATAATAAAGCTCGATTGCAGAGAGAATAAACTGACAGGGAGCTAGAAAGAGGTAATTTAAGATTCGTGTGACTTCCTAAAAAGAAAATGAATGAAAGAGAAATAGGCTCTGTAAGTGAGCCTTAAACATTAGTTCAACCATTTCAGTCACTGTTTCATTATATTTATTTCAGATTGCCAGAAAGCCTTATGATCTAAAGGTTGACATCTTTTCTCTTGGCCTGATCTTTTTGGAGCTTTGGGTACCATTTTCTACCGACATGGAGAGAATTAGAACATTGCAGGATGCCAAAGCTCACATCTTACCACCAAGATTTAGGATAGAGTTACCTGGAGAAGTAAGAAAATCCTTAATTTTTGTTTAAATTTATTTTTAATCATTATATCTCACAGTGTGCAATAACACCCATTCTGGGTTTGGAGGGGGGAGGCAGAGGAGGGAATGAACCATGAGGGCGGTAGTAGCCACAAGTGTTTTTGGGAGGTATTTGGAGTGATCAAAGTAGCTTTAGTGGAGTGATCAAAGTAGCTTTAGTGCAGTTCTTCTTCTTTGTTTGCCCCTTAAAAGGTGGGTTTACACATTGTATGGTGATATACATCTAACTTGCGATATATGTGCCTTTCAGCCCAACATGTCCAGATTCAGCAGAATCCTACTTTGTCGCCTTATTGATAAAATACATATGCAGTGTGAAAGACGGGTTTCTGGAAGGGCCGAATGTAAGACAGGCCTGCGTGCCCAATTTGTGACCCTTTAAGAATAAAGTTTGTTCGTTTGTTCTTCCCCCAAAACAAGAACAGGAGAAAATGCTGAAAAAATCTTATGTAGCTGTTTAATCTGCCGTGTAACAGTTAAGCTTGTCGAGATGACTAAATTTCCAAAATTTATTACTGTATATTTCTGTTCATATAGTTACCGATATTATATTTAAGGGGAGGGGTGCGTATATTAAAAAAAAACATTAAAAGTAGTAGTAGTAGTAGTAGGCTTAGGTTATTTTACTTGAAGGGATGAAAAAATATATTTAAAAAAAAAGAAGCTAATAACATTAATTGTTGTCTTAATATTCTGAGAGGCTTAATTTCTTTTTATTTTTGTCTATTTTCTTTCTCTTAATAGAGCGAACTTGTTCAAAAAATGACCAGTTTAGATCCAACTGCTAGACCAGTTACAGGTGAAATTTTGGACCATGCACTTTTTAAGGACCTTGTACCAACTAGAATGGGGATCAGACAGCACAAGAGAACCAAATCTGACATCATCAGTAGCTGACAATAACAGATTTGCCACACATTATTTTGTTTTATGCACATACATGTCTTTCAACCTTATTCGCCTACAAAATTGCATATATTAATTGAATCCTTGAAATCTGAGAATATTTTAGTCTTGAGAGAAATAAACATTCCTAATATGAAGTAACATAAAAACTGAACTTTTGAAACAGATAATCATAATGCAAATCTGGCCTGTAAGCACTGTATGGCAGGGAAACATGAACTTTAAATAAAAGAGATGAAAAGAGTTTAGAAGCTTTTGAGATGTGTTATCTAGGGATGCAAAGAATAAATTGAGCAGAAAATAGCTCAGATGGATACATTCTTAAAAGCAGTGAAGAAAATAGAAATAAAACTACGGGGAATCACACAGGGAAATGAACATTCCTAACGCTGAGTAAAACATACTGAAACAGATAATCACATTGCATATCTGGCACATGAAAAAAATGTAGAAGCTTTGAAGATGTTGTATTATTGTACAATGCTAAGAATAAGCTGGACAGATAATAGCTGGACAGAAAATGGCTGGACAGAAAATGGATCAAATGAAGAGAGACTTGAAGAAAATGGAAAAGGAAAATCATACTTCCCCCTCCCGTCATCCCTTCATCCCAAAAAAAGCCAGCAGCCCCTGATAATCCTGCTCTTATCACATGATGGGACCTGATGATCCTGCTTTGGTCACATGATGGGACATGATGATCCTGCTTTGGTCACATGATGGGACATGATGATCCTGTTTTGGTCACATGATGGGACATGATGATCCTGCTCTTGTCGCATGATGGGACATGATGATCCTGCTTTGGTCACATGATGGGACATGATGATCCTGCTTTGGTCACATGATGGGACCTGATGATCTTGCTTTGGTCACATGATGGGACATGATGATCCTGCTTTGGTCACATGATGGGACATGATGATCCTGCTTTGGTCACATGATGGGACCTGATGATCTTGCTTTGGTCACATGATGGGACATGATGATCCTGCTTTGGTCACATGATGAGACATGATGATCCTGCTTTGGTCACATGATGGGACATGATGATCTGGAGAGCAAAAGACAGAGAGGGTGCACTAAAAGACAAAACTGCATCATACAATCAGCACCCTGTTTGGGTTCCAAGGCCTCATTGTGTGGAAAACAATGATAGATCCACTGCAAACTAACATGTATGTGGTAGAAGTAGTCTTATTGAGAGGGCTTCCTTCGAAGTCAGAGTGCATCTTCCTGAGGGACAGGGAACAACCAGCTGCACACAAATATTCCAGTAAAATGAATATACACGCACACTCAGGCCCTAGCACAAAGCCAAAGTCCAGATGGAGCCAGGACTTGTCACCAAAGCTTACAGACAGTGGACAAAAACGCAATAGAAGACACATGCAGTAAGAACATTGCGGCACTGAGTTATGCTGGACTGAAGAGAGTTAATAAAAATAGGAGACTGAAGAGAGTTAATAAAAATAGGAGACTGCAGAGAGACATTAGCAGATAGCTTCAGTAGCACTTTAAAGACTGACTAACCTAAGGAAGAAAAGTGCATGCACAAAATGGAGTTGATAATTGTTGCAAATCCTTTAAACAGTATACATCTTGGAGAAGATAGATGTTGGATGGGAAAGCAGAGCAGCACAGAAGATTGTATATATTGAGTTAAACCAAGGAAAAGTCCAACAGATTGTTGTGAAGTTTTATAATGCTGGTGCAATCGGTCACGGCATACAAAATGATTGACAGCATTATAGTAACATATAACAAATATTGTCTTTGTTTTCTGCGGACAAAATTACTGTTATTATAATGTTTATTTTGTGACCATTTCAAAGCTCAGCTGTGGCACCTTTTAATGTTACTACCGTATATTTGTGCTGGTATCAAAGCCTTGTGTATGTTGTCAGGAATTTTTGATGCAGAATATGTAAATTTGTTGGGAATGTTGCCACAGTGATTTGGATGATTTCCCTGTTGTCCAGAGTTATTGTTCTGAATGCCTGAAATGTTTTATTTCAACAATAATCTTTCTCTTGTCCAGTGTGAAGTTAGATGTAGGTCTGAATATCTGTAAAATGTTGAGATTATTCTCTAGTATGAAATATGTTGTAGGTCTAAATGTCTAAAATATTTAGACTTGTTCTGTATGAAATGAGTTCTAAGTCTGAATAGCTGTGGAATGTTGATTTATTGTCCAGTATGAAATATGTTGTAGGTCTAAATGTCTATAAATATTGAGACTGTTGTTCTGTATGAAATGAGTTTTAGGTCTGAATAGCTGTGAAATGTTGACTTACTTCAACAATAATTATTGTAATGCCCTAATTGTTCAGTATGAAATGGATTGTACGTCTGAATGCCTGTGAAATCTGTTTTCAGATAAAATTGCACATTGTCATCTTCTCCTCCTCGTCCTTCTAAATGGGTTGTTGGCATGCTGTGTTGGGGTTTACAGCTAGGCTGTGATATCTGCCCTTTTTTTTGTTGCCCCAACACGTCCGGTTGCAGCGAATCCCTAATTTGTCACCCGCCTTTTGACATGTCTTATCAGGGGAAATCCCCCCCTCCACCTCTTAAAAAAGGGGCTCCAGAAATGGGGAAGTTCCAGGTCTGAATGTCTGTGACATGTTGAGACTTGTTTCACCAGTAATCTCCAGTATGAAGTAGTTGATGATCTGAATGTTTGTGAAATCCTAACGATTTCTCCCTTCTTTTCAAGTGAAGGGACTTGTTATTGCATGCCAAATATATCTTTGCTTAATAATCTTAGCTTTGAGAGGAATTGCTGGGGCTACACGTTGTAAGGGTTAGATATAGGAAGGCTATACTTTTGTCAAACGATTGTATTTTAGCGAAACATGTATTTTTACCATACACAGAAGATTCTTGTTTTTGCCAGACAGAAAACTGTATTTTAGCCGTACATAGAAAACATTTTTTTTTTTAGTGTCAAATAGAAAACTGTAATTTTGCTAAACATAGACGCAGAATGCTCCGCTAATTTATAATAATGGGGAATTAATATTGAAAAGTTATGTGATATTTACAAGCTCAGTATCTAGTGAGGTTCTAACAAAATCTTACACAGTTCATACCAAGCAAATCTTCACTGCACCTTTGCTCCATCAGCAGGTCCTCATTCTGTCTCAATATTTTGTGAAGATTATGTATGCTGATTGTTCTTTTTGTACTTTTTTGTCTAGACATGTTTCTGTTTTCTGCTGCTGGCAGATATAGAGTTCTGACTGTGATTTATTGTTTTATCAGTTGTCTTGCAAGTTTGTCAAAATATCTGTTCATAGACATGAATGTATATGTATTGGTGTTATATTATGATATTATACTATCGCAATTAGTATTTCCTCAAATTGGGCATTCCCATGCATTCTCAGTCTTCTAATCTAACGGGCATTTCGTAGTGCCCCTATCCACGGCAACTATGAGAAGTTGGTTATGTCTCCTCTTTTCACACTGAAGGTGACACAAGTTTGGGCAGGCTTCACTCCCGTGTTGTGTATTGGGGTGGGTGTCAGAGACCCATCAGTATCCACTAGTATAACCAGCAATGACTTGACCAAATCAGCCCTGTTCATGCTTCTTCCACTTTGAAATAGTTCATTTCTTTCCGACGATGTGTTGGCCAAAATGCGCAATTATCGCATCTTTGCTTTAAACAGGCGCAATGCAATTACTTCACGCAGATGAATGAAAAGAATAAGATTTCTCTTCAGCTAGTCCACTACCCATATTGCCGGGAGTGTAGATTCGGGTGAGCAATACAAAATGCTGCTTTTGAATGCCGTGTGCCCGTTCAGAGAAGAGACTGAGAAGAGAAATTAAACAAAGAAATTAAGTCCTGGAGAAACTCTCCTCTCTGTCTGTCTGTCTGTCTGTCTGTCTGTCTGTCTGTCTGTCTGTCTGTCTGTCTGTCTGTCTGTCTGTCTGTCTGTCTGTCTCTCTGTCTGTCTCTCTGTGAGTGTGTGTGCATGCATGTGGTTCAAAGTTATAAAGCACAACTAAATGTTGATTTCTCCTCTCTCTTCTCTTTATGCATTC